GCCTCCCCCTCAGCCCGTCTCTTCTGATTTACACAGGTGCTCCCACCCGAGCCAAGGCAGCTTGTCCTCCCTGGTAAAGTCAGGTGTGGGCTTATCAGGGTTCCCAGCCACCATCCCCGGAACCCCTGCAGCTGCCAAACAGAAACCAGAGCTTCCACATGAGGAGCTGCCAAAAACAAGTGTTCAAGCCCCACCAGAGAGGCCTGGGGAGGCAGGAGAATTCCAGGAAGGCGAACACTCCATCCCAACAGGAGCTGGTTCTCATAGCCCAAAAGGGACAAGGGGCACAGGTTACTGTCCCCACAACCCCCAGTTCATCAGGCTCCAGCCTTCTGGGAGTCCAGCCCCTCCCCTGTGGCAGGTGGCAGTTGGGGCTCACGTGGAAGCTGGGGGTTCCACAGCCTCTTCCCAGGTCAGTAAGAAGGAGAGAAGCTGGCCGGGCATGGTGGCTCATGCCTGTAATCCCAGCACTTTGGGAGGCCGAGGTGGGTGGATCACCTGAGATCAGGAGTTCAAGATCAGCCTGGCCACCATGGTGAAACCCACCTCTACTAAAAATACAAAAAAAAAAAAAATAGCCAGGCGTGGTGGCAGGCACTTGTAATCCCAGCTACTTGGGAGGCTGAGGCAGGAGAATCGCTTGAACTCGGGAGGTGGAGGTTGCAGTAAGCTGAGATCAAGCCATTGCACTCCAGCCTAGGCAACAAGAGCAAAACTCTATCTCAGAAAAAAAAAAGAGAGAGAGAAAGAGAAGCCAGGCATGATGTCTCACACCTGTCATGCCAGCACTTTGGGAGGCTGAGGTGGGAGGATCACTTGAAGCCAGGAGTTTAAGACCAGCCTGGGCAACATAGCAAGACCCCATCTCTACAAAAAGCTTAAACATTTAGCTGGGTATGGTGGCATGCACCTGTAGTCCCAACTATTTGGGAAGCTGAAGTGGAAGTATTGCCTGAGCCGAGGAGTTTGAGGTTACAGTGAGCTATGATCACACTATTGCACTCCAGTCTGGGTGACAGAACAAGACCCTGTCTCAAAAAAAAACCATGAAAAATGTTTTAACAGGAGAGAAGCCCAACCTCAGAAGGTCCCACACGCCTGATAAGGGGCCCGCTGTATCCCCACCCGCAGACAGACTGCACCTGCACACCTGGCATGGCCTCGCCCTGCGTGCGTTCATCACAGGGCCAGGCCCCTGCCCTGCTGAGCTGCACCTGGGGCTGGGCCTGAATCCCTCCTGGCATGGGCAGTGGCAGAAGGACAATGAGTGTGTAATCCTGCTCCTGGGACTAGGTCAGTTTTCTGGAAGGATATGGCCTTTCTCGTGGTGGAGTAGAGGTGCCCCCACAGTGCCCCCGGGCACTTGTCCTGGGAAGGATCTCCAAACCCATGAGCAACCCCCAGGCCCACTAGGAAGAGGGAAAGAGAGATGATGAGTCACTGACGCTTGAGACCCTGAAAAGCTATTTACTGGGAGCTCTGGAACCAACTGCCCCCAAATGCATGCTCGAGGGCCTCTCTCTGCCTGGCTGCCCTGTGCTTCTGAGCCAGCCGAACTGTGCCTGCCCTTGTATAGGACGAGACCTTGGGCAGGTCGCCAGGTATCCTCTAGAATCCATGCTCCAAGGGGACAGCCAGTTGCTGTATCCAGTGCTTGGCACATGACAGATGCTCAGTAAACACTTGTTGAGTGTATGAGTGAATGAATGGCTCCAGCTGAAAGGATCAGTGCTGCCCACAGTACTGAAGCACAAGCTGCAGGTGCTCTGTAGGCACCAGACCAGGGAGGGTAGAACCCAGGAGGAGGGGACAGCTTCAGCAAGGGTGCAGAGGGGGCTCTCTGGGCCCTTAGGGGGTCTTTCAGCAAAAGTCATCCTGGAAAATATTTGACTTTCAGTCATCAGCTTCAATGGTCTTAACACAAAGTTAATTCAGTTTTTCTGCCCTCTCACATCGTCTCGTCCAGATATTTTTGTAGGATTTAACCTCACTGTCTTACTATCACCCACTGACCATAGGAAATTCCCTTTTTGATGGATCTTCGCTCTGTGCAGGGCCACATCATGCTCTGAGCAGTGATCAGTGCTCCTCTTTCTCCTGGAGGCATTTGTTGTTTGTTGATCGATCGATCGATAGATGGTGGGGGCTTTGGCCAAGATAAGCCCTTGGCCATGTGAGGCCTTGACAGTTTCTAGGACTGCAGCTTCTCATCTCTGGCGGTTGAGTTCACCAGCCCCTCCTGGGGTTCCAGCGCCTCCTGGTAGGTGCTTCTGGCCTTCCCTCCCTCCCAAAGGCAAGAGGCCCCCTTACCACCTAAGGACAGAGCCCTGCCCCGTCCCCACTTCCAGATCCCCCTGGGTTTTGCCTTGGCTCCTCCATCCAGCTTCTACTCCTTCCTTCCTGCTCCCACCCAGCTCGCCTCCCGAACCACCTCTCCTCAACCTGGACCACCTACAGACTGTCGGTGGTGCTCCCTTGGACTTGGGCTTCACCTTCCCAAGGGACCCCTAAATCTTCCTGGGGCCCGAGCTTGCCTTCCCGGGGCAGGGTGAGCAGGAAGCAGGGAAACACAGTGGTGGGTTGAAAGCCATACATGCAGGGCTTTGAATTAAGCAGAACCTGATTCAAATCTCCGCTCTGCCACTCACTTGCTGTGTGGCCTGGGACCAGTGACACTCTGCGCCTCATTTTCCTGGCCTGTACCATGGGGGCAATCTGTCATAGAGCTGCCCTGAGGATTCCAAGAGTGGATCTCATCAGCAGTCTGGTCTCTGAGAGGGTGGCAGGTGGGAGGAAGCGTTTCAAAGTGCTGGGCTTCCCCTGTCCCGCCCTGCTCCTGACCACTCCCAGTCCCCAAACTCCCCAGCTGAGGACGAATGCTATGGAGTGAGATAGATGGTTGCAGGCACGAGGCGGGGGTCATCAAAGCGCCCCTTTGGACCATTAGCAAGCAACCAGAAGTGTGCTTGTTATCTTGAGCTTATTGGGGTTTCCAGGTAGGGGTCCCCTCCTCGCCTGCCTCACGCCCCAGTCCTAGACTCCTCGGGTCCCCGCGGGCTGGGGCGGGGTTGCTTGTACCCGGCAGGAGAAGGAGGTGGTGACGCGTCCACTCGGGCCGCCCCGCCCCGCGGCGCCCCGCCCCGCGGCCCCGCCGTCACGTGCGCCGGGGAGGGGACCACCGGGAGGTTCCCGGGCGCGCGGAGGTGGCGCGTCTGTGAGCGCCTATTTGCATATGCGCACCCTGGATATTTATAACTTCTCTTCAGCCAGTTCCAAGTTATTGATGTCTTAAAGTGACTTTAATCTGAGCCTTCTTTTCTCCAAATGGGCTTTTGATTTCCGGAGTGATATTATACATGGCTGTAAGCTATTGACTGAGCGATTGCCGTTGTGTTCTCAATGTGCTGATGCTGAAAATCTGCGATATAAATAAACTTCCTCTGGTAGAATCATTATAAAGCACAAGCAGCAGAAATTTATGGAAAGAACAGATTAAATGCTTAGACTTAAATTCTTCAGTGTGCTGGTTGCCCTAAACTGCTGTGTCTGGAGTTTGGGCTGCTGATTCAGGTGGAAAAAATCAAACGGACACATCGCTTGTCGGTGCATTTTTACTATGATGTATTGTGTTGCCAAAAGAGAAAGCTCAAAAGCTGCCATTGATAATCCTGGTTAAAACTTGGAACATAAATTATTAAGACGTGTAGTTTCTTTTCCGAGTGGTTGGGGACTGAGGCACATAGCACACTAAAGAAATATAACATCAATATGCGCTTATGCATTGTAATGCGGGACATTTTTATGCCCATAATAAAACATTGCGCCTACAACTATGTTTATGAAAGCAACAGATAGAAAGATCCATAATGCCACTTAATAGAGTTAATCACCTCCCATCGGAACGTTTTAAAAAGCTTTTTATTGCATGTTGAAAAGCTCTGACCATAATTAATACAATGCACACTGTCAGGTGCCAATCAGAGGGCTCAAGGCAGCAAAAGGAACTTTCCAGCACACTGGGCAGGGAGGGTTTTCGGGACTCTGTCCAGGTGTCTCAGCGCCAGGATTTTAGGTCGACTTTAGCCTCTGGTTGAACTGTGTCAAACATTGGGCTCTGGCTGGGGCTTTGGGTTCTAAATTTTAAGCTCTGAGCTGTAGATGTAAATTCTGAGTTTGCTTCTGTCTCTGGCTTCTGGGCTTTGGACTGGATCCTGGGTGGGCCCCCCTCCTCGGTCCCTGGGTCCTGAGCAAGATCGCCACACAGAACATGTTTACCCAGGGCCAGGAGGCAGGGATAGATGTTTCCTAACAGTCTTGGGTTTGTTTGCCATCGATTTCATGAGTCCGGTTGACCATAAAAAAGGATCCAGTGGGCTCTCCCTGCACCTCTCCCCTTCCAGCCAGTTTTCCACAAAGGGGAGGACAGCACCCGCTGTGCCCAGGGCTGGCATGTGGGTGAGGGCCAGTCCCTCAAGACAGTAGCCTGCCATGGGACAGACCCCAGAGTCACTGGCAGGGCCAACCTCACCAACCAGCCAGGAGGCTCCGGGGCCAATCACTCCCCTTCCCCTCCAAAGGAGATGCTTTATCTCCTTTTTCCCTTTTCCCACAACCGTGGAGTGACAGGAGCCACAGGGAATCTCCCAAACAGCCCAGAAAAGCTGAGGAGGTAAAGGGCCAGCCTGAGGTAATTAAATAATAAAATGGTCTTTTAAAAGTGCACGGAGAGGGCCAGATGCGGTGGCTCACGCTTGTAATCCCAGCACTTTGGGAGGCCGAGGCAGGCAGGTCACGAGGTCAGGAGACCGAGACCATCCTGGCTAACACGGTGAAACCCCGTCTCTACTAAAACTACAAAAAAATTAGCCAGGCGTGGTGGCGGGCACCTGTAGTCCCAGCTACTCAGGAGACTGAGGCAGGAGAATGGCATGAACCTGGGAGGCGGAGCTTGCAGTGAGCCAAGATTGCGCTGCTGGACTCCAGCCTGGGTGACAGAGCGAGACTCTGTCTCAAAAAAAAAAAAAAAAAAAGAGTACACGGAGATAGTGCTCCCCATGGCCTGGGCCTCGCTCCCATGCCTGGGTGGTGACTCGGGTGGCTGGTGGCTGAGCTAGGGCCTCTGGTACTCAGACAGGGAATGTTCTGAGTGTGAGAGCTCTTTTTCTTCCTGAAAAGTTGGACCAACAAGAACTGGGAGTGAGGACAGTGAGGCCAGGCTTGTCTCCCAACACCACGTGGCGGATTTCTCTCCACTGGACTGGAATCCACCGTGTGTTACAACTCGAAGGGCTGGGTTGCCACCAGGGGCCCAGGGTTTGGAGGGATGTGTTGTCACCAAGGCCCAGAGATTTCTATGCTTGAAAAGTTGCTGTCACAGGCCTTTGGTGAGACAGTCATACCTGAACTGACTTCTGGTGCCCAATAGGACACTAGTCACTGAATTTCCATCATGGCCTGAAGGGTTTGACACCCCTCTGCCATCTCCCTACCACCAGTACCCCTGCCAAAAGTGAGACCCATGCTGAAATGAACTTACCTTTTCAACTAGGGAACTATCTTGGTCCATTTTGCATTGCTATAAAGGAAGACCTAAGGCTGGGTAATTTATAAAGAAAAGAGGTTGATTTGGCTCCTGGTTCTGCAGGCTGTACGGGAAGCATGACACCAGCATCTGCTTCTTTAGAGGCCTCAGGGAGAGGCCTCTAAAGGGGTTGCAAATGAGTGCTGGATATGCAAGGAGCGTCCATTGAGGAAATAGGCATGGGGCACTCACCTCTGATCATGACTGGGTGAGTTTCCTTCTGAAGTCCAGTGCCTCCTGCTTTATGAAAGTGAGCCGTAGGGTGTGGTCAGGCTCCCCTCATGGTGGAGAGCACAGGGGAGCAGGCATCACAAGGTGAGGGTGGACGGAAGAGAGAGGGAAGGGGCACCATGCTTCTTTAAACAACCAGGCCTAGCATGAACTAATAGAGGGAGAGGCCTCTCAAGACAGTGAGAGGTGCACCAAGCTATTCACCAGGGGTCCGCACCCATAACCCAGACACCTCCCACCAGGCCCCACCTCCAACACATTTCCACGTGAGATTTGGAGGGGACAAATATCCAAACCATATCAATAACCTTTTCCAAATCGAGCTGTATACTGGGTCCATGGGGGACACTGTCCATTCTTGCCCTCTTGGAGGTGAGTACCATGGTGGGACAGGCCCACACCTCACCCCAAGTTGTGCATGAAGTCACAAGGACAACTGGAGAAAATATTGAGGCATAGGTGTTGCAGAGGAAAAACTCATTCTATGCATCAGTCAACAAAACTGTACTGAGCACCTACCCTGCATAACAAGCCAACTCCCTGCCCTCTGGGGGCTCACATTCGAGCTCCCCAGAGCCTCCCAAATGATGACGGCAACCACATCCCAGATGCAGCAACTAGAGAAATAACAAGTTGCATGTGCCTTTTCCAAGGCTGCCTAAGACAGGCTGAGCTACGATCCCCGAAACCAGGGCAGGGGTCTTGGGTGGATCTTCAGAGCCACATCCCAACCCCCTTGCCAAGCTCCCTCCGCCCCAGGCAGCAACTAGAGAAGTGTGCCCAGCCTCGGCTCAGGAAGGACAGTGTGCGGTGACCCTGTGGGAAGAGAGCAGTTCCTCTCAGTCTTTCTCGGGGACCAAGGCCAAAAGCCAGAAGGTTGCAGAAGTTGCTTATCCTGGAGGCAACAAAGCGAGGGTGCCTTGAAGTTATGGAGATCATGACTGTTCCACAAAGCCTGGCAGAAGGGGTTGCAAATGAGTGCTGGATATGCAAGGAGCGTCCATTGAGGAAATAGGCATGGGGCACTCACCTCTGATCGTGACTGGGTGAGTTTCCTTCTGAAGTCCAGTGCCTCCTGCTTTATGAAAGTGAGCCGTAGGGTGTGGTCAGGCAGACAGCGCATGTGGAGCACCCAAGACCAAGTGCTCAGTCACAAGCTGGCCCACCCAGACTGGCACAGAGGTAAAGGCAGCCCGACCCTCAGTGGTCACAGCTGTCCTCCCAGCAGCGATCAGGCACCTGGCAGTTGCCAGGGCCCCTCTCTCTCTGCCCAGCCCTGGTGGCCTTGGAGTGCCTGCTGGACAGTTGCTCCCAATTCCTCCCTGGCCAGTGGCCTTGAAAGAGTCCTGAGTCCTGAGTGAGTAGGGGAGGCGGTTGTGGTGGGCAGAGCCAGGCTCAGTGAGGTTCCCTGGGGGACTTCTGGGATGAGTTTGCTAATAGAGACGTCTGTTCTGGGAGGTCGTGATACCACCTGTCATTAACCCAGGCACTCTGCCCGGGGTTCTCAACCAAGAATTCGTAGGTGGCTGCTAGCAGGTGGGTGAGTGATTTGCAAGGACCACAAGAATATTTGCATAAACATATGTATGGAAGTGTGTATTTATTTGCATTCATTTGCATAAATTGCTGGCTCTTTGAGCTGTTGTTCCTTAATTTTATATTTTTTAGTAAATTTCTTTTGAGCTCTGAGCACAGATCCGGACACTTCAGGAGTGAGAATAAAAAGGCAAAAACATACTTGTGAATCAGAAACTTGGGGGGTGAAGCCTGAGCCTCTGTATATTTTTAAAGCCTCCAGGTGAGCCCAGTACACAGGCCAGGAACCAATGCGAGACAGGACAGGCCTATGTCAGATCAGATCAGCCTCCCTCCACTGGGCAGGTCACCTCACCTCTCCCAAAACTCAAAAGCAATGAGGAGTGTGAAGTGCCAGTGCCATGCCAGCCCGCGGCGATCACCCAGCAAGCACTCACTGGGCCCTGCTCAGCATCACCACCACTGCACGGTGCCATCCTGTGTAGATCCGGCTGCTCCTTCTGGCCCTGCCACCCAGTGGCCCTGGACTCCACCCCTAGGACCCTGAGCTCTTGGGTAGTGAGTGCTCCACGCTGAGGCCTGGGGTCTGTTCTGTCTGAGGCACGCGGTCATTTCTCCTTCGAGGTGACTTCCAGGCTGACAATTCCATCACTGCCCAGATGCCTGGGAAATGTATGCTTGTGATCGGGAGACCACCCAGCCCTGCTGGCCTCCGTCTGTTCCTCTTTCCAGGCCAGGAGAGGGCCAGGCACTGAACGACCCTGAAGCTTGCAGGCTTTTGCTTTCCATTGTAGGCGCTGCCCAGGGGAGAAGAACACTGGATTTCTGGAAATGTCTAAAGCACTTCAGTGCAATTGTTGCCAGGGTCCTGCCCCTCTCTGTGTAATTTTTTTCTCCTCCTCCCTGTTTGACATCTTCCCTCCGTCGTCCCCCACCCAGCTGGCCCAGCTGTAGCATCCCTGGTCACTCTGTGCTTCTCTACCTTGAGTCTCTGCTTGTGGACAGCCCTTCCTCCATGGCTGATGGCTCAAACCCTGTCCATTCAAGACCCAGCTCAGTGCCTTCTATCCCACAGCACCTTCTCCAAGCCAGCACCTGTTTCCCTCAGTCACTTATTCAAACCTTACCTGAAACCTGCTTGAGGCCAGAAGCTATGCTAGGCACTGGGGTGCAGAGACCGGTCAGATGCAGGCTTTGCTTTTGAGAGCTTTCCTGAGGAGTGAGAGCTTTTCGGAGTGGTGAGCAAGTCCATGACTTCCCCTGCCCCAGCGCCTACCTGTGCACCCCTGTCGAACAGGTGCACCACATTGGAGGATGCTGCTCAGAGCAATGCTGCAGACCTTGCTAACGGGAGACAGAGCAGTCACACCTCGGCCTGCAGAAGTCCAGGGAGGAGGGAAGTGGTTTCAGAAGCTCCAGGGGCAGAGGGGAACAGATAGGAGCTGAAGGGGCAGCTTCTGGTGGCAGCCGAGGTGGCCAAGCCCACTCCTCTCCTGGATCCACCTTTGCTGGGACAGGCGGAGTTCTTCCTGGAACTTCAAGGAGTCCCAGAGCTTGATTCGCAGACCCTCCCGATCCCCCAGGCCAGCCAGGCTGGGGAAAAGGCTGTCCCCAGCCTGCCCCAGGCCTGGCTGCAGCCCCCACTTACCCAAACCCTCAGATGTGCGTGGTCCCCACTGCTGCTCCAGCAAGGCCCCTCAGGACCACCCTCAGTCCCTTCCCCTCACCTCCACCCTCCAGAGGCAGCACCCACCCTGAGAGGGAGCCAGCCTGGGCCTCCGCAGCAGAGCGTGGGAGCGCAGAGAGCCCGGAAGTGGCACAGCAGGGGCAGCATGATTCACCAGCAAGGCTGAGCTGAGCAGGAAGGCCGTGGCCCATGGTGGGCAGTGGCCACTCCCATGTCAGGCCGAGCAGCACCTTCCTCATCCCTGGGCTGGGGACTGTGGAGTCTAGGAGGACCTGGTCCTGTGTGACCACAGGGGACTGCAGACTCAGCTGGTGACGACCCCCACGCGGCCAGCCTGCAGCGTCTCAGTGCCCCCAGGCCAGGAAGGCCCCTGTCTTCCCCTTTGGTCAGGGTCATTTACTCAGCCAGCAGATACCTCTCTGCCCCTGCTGGGTGCTCAGTGCTGGAAGTCCCTGTCCATGAGCCACCCCCGGTCCAGAGAGAAGCAAACAGACTCAGCAGAGTGCTGAGCCAAGTGTGGTGGGACCACAGAGTGGCAGCTGATCTTACCGAATGGGTAGATGTTTTCTGAACGAGGACGAAGGAATTCCCAGGCGGAGGGAATAGCCTAGGTGCCACCCTCCTCTTCCAGGCTCCCACGCAGCCTCCGTTTCCCTTCTGCACAGCCCTGCCCCACTGAATGGATAACTGTACATGCAGAGAAGGCTCCGAGAGGGCAGAAAGCCAGGTTGTCGCATCCCTTCTGCCCCATAAGCCGCGCCCATGGCCAGTGCTGGACACAGCCTGCTGGGGAGACTGGTCCTTCTCAGCGTTTGTGTTCACGTAGGGGATGGTCCCCCCACCGTGTGGCTGCCCTGCCACCCCCGGTCAGCCTCTGAGCACAGAGGCCGGTGCCCGGCTCATTTAGAGCTGAGGCCCCCAGAACCCGGGGCTGCAACCGAGTACACAGGCTTGGCCACGCCAGTGCAGGACAGCAACTCTTGGGTAACTGTGTCCAGTGGATTTGTAAAAACAGGGCCGTGGTATTATCACAGAATCTGGTAGGTTCTGCTTCCCAAGAAAAACAGACTGTCACGTTAAATACATATGGGGAGGGACCCAGGCAGAGACGGGTGTCGGTAAAACCGGAAGCTCAGCCGAAATGGTAGGGACACATGAATGGTCCCACGCAGGGAGAATCGAGCCAGAAGGCCCTGGAGCATGGGCCGTGTGCCCAGTCAGGCCTCTCCTTCCTGCATCTGGGGTATCAGTCGTGTTGATCGTCACGTGGAGCCCAGTGAGTGTCAGAGGCTGCATAGGGCTCTGGGAGTATCGGGGGAGGGAAAGGCGGCGGCTCCACCTGCCTGAGCTGGCAGGCTAACTGGAAGATAGGATTCAGCAGGCAGAGATTACACACCCAGGAGGAGGGATTGGCCTGGGACAAGGGGAGACCAGGCACAACCTGGGGGTTGGGAGGAGGGGGGTGTCAGTACAGCCCATCTGTTGGTTCTTTCTGGGACCTCATGGAACCAGGCCGGGTGCCTCCTCACAGGCTGGGGCACAACATGGACTCGCCGCCCAGTGTGATGGGCAGGGGGCGTGCTGGGCACCATGTCTGCTACATGGGGGCACTGCAGCAGTGTGTCACCCTTGGCAGGATGAGGGGCTGACTCCCCGCCGTTGCATGATCCCCCGAGCCCCCAGGCCTGCCATAGGCCTTCTAAGGCAGACCTGACCTCCTGACTCTGCGCCAGGGCCTGCGGCAGGGGGCGGATCACCTGGAGGGCACAATTCCACTTTCTTCTTTCATGCCTGTAAAGATTTTCTAATATTCCTATAATGATGTGGAGATTACTTGTATCATCTTAAAAGGTCGTTAGAAATATGAAAAACTAGAAATGACTCTTGGGCTTTTACCCCCCCCCGAAATGGCAGGAGGCAGGTGTATTGTCCTAAACTGACCCGGGCCAGGATGGGCAGGAGGGGTGGGCACAGAGAACCAGGGGCAGACACTCCTCCTGGAAGACCATGAAGGGCACAGGGTGGGCAGAGAGGGGAGGGGTCTCTACACACACACACTCATACACTCACACACACACACACTCTCTCTTCTCCCCTCTCTCCTAGCCCCACATCCTCCCAGCTGTGACTCCTCCCTGGATGGGATTCGCAGTGTTCTGAGCTGACATTAGCTCCTGGCATCTGGGGTTTCCATTTCATTTCCTTCTTTACCTAGGTAACTAAACTGATTGTACTCCCGGCTCTGGTTCACTGATTCTTGCAAATCCTTTAAAAGTATTGATTTATTTGCTAGGACTATGGCTCTCAGAATTCTTGGGAAATAATGGCTTTTACTGAAGCAGGAGGGGAGACCCATGTTTTCCCGTCTCCTGTGACTCTTCTGCCTGCCCCTATCCCCAGTTCTCCCTGAATCTCTTTCCACTCCTTCTCTAAGCCGGCCTGTCACCTGGTGCAGGTGGCTGACTTTCCCAAAGCCGTAGCTGGCCAGATCTTGGAAAGATTAGGTCTCCAGGAAGAATACAACAAAGTGAGGTTTCATGAGCACATGAGAATTTAGGCTTTGGGTTTGCATCTGTGGCCGTCGGGCTCCTCATCCCTTATGGAGGAATACCATTTCCTCGTCCAGGTCCCTGTGGCCCTTCTATTTCCAAAGCACACCATTCTTGTGGGTCTGCAGCTTTGGATGCCGAAGCTCTGAGGCTGCTCACTCGGCCTCTTCCCAGCCAGCCCCTCCCCACACCCCACAACAGCTGTTCACCCAGCTCCCCAGGACCCCCAGTGGAGGCCAGTCAGCCAGGGCCTCTGAATGGATAGAGAGTAGGGGGTGGTCTCATGGTAGCTGCAGAGCCACCCACTCCTGGAACCCAGGGCTGCCCGCTGGCTGGGAATGGAGGGCAGCAGGCTCCCGGGGGAGACTGTGCCTGTATAGGACCCCAGGGGGACTGTCTCTGTGACGGACCTGGCTGCACTGCCTCAATTCCTGCCCCAATTCCCAGCCTCGTTCACCAGCCTCCAATATATACCTTTCTGCTTCGCTGTCAGAACTGGGTCCTGTGGTTGGCATCCCAGGCCCTGACTGGGACAGATGCATGGATATGTCAGGCCTATGATAAATGCCACTTATGGCAGAGCCTGCCCAGGTCCTGGGGGAGCATAGCTTTGCAAGTTCATCACAGCCAACATGGTCATCACTGTCTTTGCACTCCTGAAGGAACTTCGAAGTCTGGGGCCGGAGCACCCAACCGGCCAAGCCCAGGCCTCATGACCACATGCCAGCTATCAGGGAGCTACCTCCCCTGGGCCCCCACAGTGACGAGGCCCAGATCCCCACATCTTGGGATTGTCCCCAGTAGGAAGGGGTTCCAGTGCTGAGCAGCCAAACTCACCTCTGTCTACTCCAGTGGCTCCTTTCCCATCAGATTTGAGCTCCTTGGGGACAGAAAGTGGCTTCTACTCCATGGTCCAGGCCTGGCATGAAGGAGGCCGGTAAATACGCACTGAGGTGTTGAGCTAGTTGATTCGGAGTGACTCACCCCTCTCACGTGTCCGGTTCTCCACTGGAGACAGCCAGCGGTTGCCCCACAGTCCTGCGCTTCCTGGCCCCACTCCTGGCCCCCCGGCCCTGGCCACCCACCCCTCTTTCCTCAGAAGGCCTCTAGCACCACAGCTGACCATCCTGCAGCTCTCTCATCCAGCTCCTCACTGTGGGCACCTGTGTCTGCACTGAGCTGCGTCCTCCCCTGGGACAGGAGCTGTCTTGCTCACCTCTTGCCCCCGCTTCCTCCGCAGCTCTCACCCCACCCCAGCTCCAGGTGTTGGCCTGGGGCCCTGTGCCTTGTGGCACCTGATGATATGCTTTGGGTGCTTGCCTAAGGCCTGGGAAATTCAGAGGAGGGGTCAGAATGGGCTGGAATGGCAGGGGCAGCCCGGAAGAAGGGAGCTCGTGATGGTGTGAGAAAGAAAGCCCCAGGCCAGGGGAGCGTGGGGAGGTGGGCCCGCACGTGCAGGGGCAGGCCACTCGCAGCTGCTTCCCAGCAACCTTTTCAGTGTCAGAGACAAACCTGACGCTCTCAGCCTCCCTCGTGAAATCCACCAGTGGCCCCCAGCCTCCTGTGGGAAAAAGAAGACGGTTGGTTTGCTTGGTTCACTGTCAGATAGGGGTTTGCCTTGATCTGCAGCTTTTCCTGCTGCTTCTCATATGCAGAGGCCTCATGCTCACACACATATATACAAGGGCGTAGACACGCACCCATGCCACATGCTGTCTCCCACACACAACTACACAGACACGGGCACAGACACACACCCACACCACGTGCTCACATGCACTATGCACACGAGGACACACATACACCCATCCTCACACACACAGACACAGACACATACACAGGGGTGCGTGCTTGCTTGCATGTACATACCACATGCTTGCATGTACATACCACATGCTTGCATGTACATATACATACAGGCATGTGCTGTCTCTCATACACACACATACACACACGGGCATATTCACAGGGGTGCATACAGACCCCCATACCACATACTTACATACACACACACACACCCCCCTACATGGGCACATACACAGGGGTGGGTACACACACCCATACCACATGCTCACACACACACCCCTACATGGGTACATACACAGGGGTGCGTACACAGACCCATACCACATCTTCTCTCACACACACACACCTACACAGGCACATACACAGGGGTGCATACACACACCCATACCACATGCTCACATGCACGCACACCCCTACACAGGCACATACACAGGGGTGCATGCACACACCCACACAACATGCTCTCACACACACACACACATACATTGGCACACATACAGGGCTGCATACACACGCCCACCCACGGGCTTGCACACACCATATGTTCACACCCACACCTTTGTACCCACCACATGCTTGAACACACATGTAGATACACATGCGTGCGCACACACAGCCATGTGTGCACACAGCACATGCCAGCCATACGAGTGACCTTCAGTCCCTAACGTGGCCCTCTCACACCTCAGCCTGTGTGTTCCCATCTCGCCCCTGCAGCTAGCTGGGGCGCTCCTGCTCACCTTTTGAGTCTTCCCTTGACTGTCACCTTCCCTGTGGACACTCTCCTCAGCTCCGTCGGGTAGAACCAGCCATCCCCTCCTCGGTGCCACATCCGCCCAGCACTTGCCCCAGTCAGACGACTCTTGCAGGGCATTCCAGGCAGACACACGCTCTGTGAGTGTGTCTCCCGTTAAACTGTGAGCTCCCCCAGCTCTGCACACGTGCCGATTTCCATGTGACCCCAGCACCCCCTTCTCCCCCCGCCAGTGCCCGGCACACAGGAAACAGCAGTTTAATGAATAAACGAAGGGGCCAAACAGACACAAGCCATCTGAGGTTCCCAGAACTCGGGGTCTGAGTCTGCCTCTGAAGGAGGATGTCAGGGCCCCAGCCCCACTCAGCGGTGGACGTCGTCAGCTGCTCCAGGGCACCCTCTAACCTCTATAGAGTTCCCCTGTCGTTCTGGCCTGACCCCAGGGCACTCAGAGCTCTCCAAGGTGCTGAACTTGGCTCTTGCATTTGGCCCCAACTATCTATCCTGGCTCCTTCAATCCCTCCAGCCAAGAACCACCCCATCTTCCAAGAGCCTACCCTCCAATGGAAAAGAAGCAGTACCTCTAAATAAATAACGCTGTAGACAGAACACAGTTCTTCCACATGAAGACGTGGAGGGCTATGAGCACGGGGGAGGAGTGAGACCCACCCACCCTCACCCCCACCCCAGACATTGGTTTCAGTTCAGTTTCTGGGGCCAGATTCGAGTCTCTTCCTCTTCTGGCCCTGAGGACCAAGGCACCTCAGGATACCTCGCTTCCTGTTAACAAGTTCTAACCCCTGGTGGGGCCAGCTACCTCACAAAAGGATGGTAGGGCCACCCTGCCCCTAAATGCCTGCCCCTCTGTCTGCTCCCATCTGCCTTGGCCCCTCACCTGGCCCTCCCCCAGCCCACCTTCAGGCTTCCAGGCCCCACAGAGCTCTTCCAGGTCCTGCCTTGACTCCCCTGGATGTTTAATTCCCCACACAAAGTCCCCTCCACCTCCAGCTCTGGCCACTCTAGAACTCTTCACACTACTGGCCTTGACCCTATTTCTCACCCAAGTCTCCCGAGCCCTGGCCTTCTCCCAAGGTCTCTCAGCCCTGCCCTCACCCCATGACATGTTCCTTCTCTCCTGCTCGGAATATTCCCATCATCCCTTGGCCTCCATCCTCCAAGCAGGGGAAGGAGCCAAGCGGCAGCCTTTTTGCTGGAGGCAGGAGGGACTACATGCTGCTAGTGTCAACCAAACCAGGTACTTGCTCCAGCAGCAGCAACAGAATTTGCCCATGGCCTTCCCTGCTTAGCTCAGGACCCACCCCCACCTCTGCAGTGCCCACCCTCTGGCCAGGTTCCTTGGGCTGGGGATGGGATCCTGACACTCTGCCCCCATCCTCCTCCATTCCTTCCTAAACAAGAGACTATACCCTTTGACTCCTACTCTGAGCCCACAAGGCATGAGTTGTCCAGGAAGATTATCTGTTTTTGGCTTTCTTTTTTTTTTTTTTTTGTGGGGGGGTTCGGGGGGTAGATCTTATGATCCAGGCAGCTAGGACCCAAAGCCTGGAGAGAACCCTGTTCTGCAGGGTGGCCTCAAGGGCTCCAGCCTGCACCTGTGTTCGGCAGCTGCTGGGGTGGTCATTTCTTCCCAGGAAGACCATTTAAGGCTCTTCAAAGCCATTGGAGCTGAACAGATAATTAAATCTCTCCCCAAGGAGGACCTAAATAATTAATGTGCCAATGCTTTAGCAACTGTAGATTGCATACGAATTGCAGGGTTATCGCCGTTATTAGCACCAATGTTGCCTGAAGTTAGAGGGGCTTGACTTTTACATTCTGTCCATCCAATTCCACACAACTGTGGTATTTCAAATAGTTCCAGTGGATCACATTTGAGGGAATGTCATCTAACTCCCTAGCACACATCTGCATGTGGTCTGTAACCCACAATGAATTCCAATCGGAACGGAACTTTTTGTGCAAAACATGGTGCCAGGTGTTCGGGGGGCCAGAGAGACAAGCCCTCCAGAAGATCACAAACTAGAAAGGAGATGGACAGACAGACAGACATTCCTCCGTAATAAGGCAGCCAAAGGTCTCTACTCCAATGAAGGTACCAGGTCTCATGGGACCACAGGAGAGGGTGAAGTTAATGGCAACTGGAGAATTCTGTAAGAATTTTTGGAGGATGGGATTTTAAGCGAGGCTTACAGCCAGGCATGGTGGCTCACACCTGTAATCCCAATGCTTTGAGAAGCCGAGCCAGGAGAATCACTTGAGGTCAGGAGTTTGAGACCAGCCTGTGCAACATGGCGAGACCCTGTCTTTACAAAATAATAATAATAATAGAGTGAGGCTTAAGGAATGGATGGGACCCTAGGAAGCAAGTGTAGGAGAAACCTTGGCCAAGGCAGAAAGAGAAACATTCAAAGTGAAGGAACAGGATGAACTGGGTGTGAACTTAGAGTGGGGGATGTGTGGAACATGATAGAATATGAAGCTGTGAGCACAGGTCAGGTCAGGTCATAGAAGCCTGCAGGAGCCCACAGTACAGAGTTTGGAAGTAAGGGATCCAGGCAGTCGTTGGTCTGGTGGACCCTAGATGAAGAAGGAGCTCCCACTCAAGGTCACAGGAGGATTGAGGTGAATCTGTGACTAGATCTAGGTCTCCCAGTCGCACTACCCACAGCCCAAGCTGGCAGCTGCCTCTGTTCAGTCCTTGGACCTAAGGGTCAAGGGCACAAACCCAGTGAAAGAGAAGGGAATATTTCTGTTAGTTTTATGATGATTTCAAAAAATGTTAAGGAGAAAAATAGAAGTGAATTTTCTATCATCTTAGAGGACATGAGAATGTTCCAGCTGGAAGGCAGTCTTCAGTCCCACCCACACCCACAGGTGTGCAGCCCTGGGTCAGGGGCTGTAGGCACAGAGGGGACCTCTGGGGCCAGCTATCACTGCTCAGTAAATAGGCCTTGTCATCCAGTGTCATCAGTTTGGAAACGGCAGGCTAGTGGGAGAGGTTGTGACTGTTCCTAGCACTTTGGCTCCCTTTTAGACAAATGGCAGAAATTCCCATTTGGACAACAGGAAAGCCAGAAGGGCTCCTCACTAAAACCCTAAGTCCAGGCAGGAAGTCAGAGTGTTTCACAGTTCCTAGGAGGGTTTGCCTGCGTGGGGCCTCAGGTGTCACACATCCGACTCAGGCTGGATGAGGGATCCACAGGTACCGCCCACAGGTGGTTTCATTCTGTCTCACCTGGAAGCTGGAGCCTGCTCTTGGCCTCCAAGGTTCATTCTGAGACCAACTCTTCTTTGGAAAAGAAGAAGGGGAAGAAATGCATATCTGATCAGACGGTGGGGGGAGGGAGGGCAACGTTCCACTCGGGAGGCGCATGGAGCAGCAGCGGGATGCTGTTTGCGTAAAGCCTCCATTTGTCCCCACAGTGTCAGCATGCGTCGGCCTCACTGCTGCTGGATGAATTGCCCTATGGGCCTGCCTGACACTGTCTTCACTGGGCCTTCTCAGTGTATTTCACAACTGCTCTGAGTTTATAATTTTTTCAGGTCCTTTATCAAATATGTGTCATACATACCAATGGGATGGGAAGCATTTATCACCTAGCTGGGTTCTTACTTGAGCTCTGAAAAAAATGATTTGGCCACACAACCTTTCTCAAGGCTCTGATTTAATGGACTTCTCTGCGGCAAAGCCACTGAAATTCTTTGCCTTTTAATATTGACATCTCTTCCTCTTTATTACCATCTCACACAGCTCTTGTAGTCCAGCCGGAACGAGCCCATTAGTCTCTGACAAATAACTTATGTCGTTTGGTGAAAAATATGCAGAAGTTTGGCTGCAACTTCATCTCCAGCCTTGGTTCTGTTTGTGGCTTCACTCTCCTCTAGGCAAAGCATCCAGCTCCAGGCAGAGCCTCCTCAAGTCCCCATTCCCTCATGCCCATTGCTGCTGCATCCACAGAGCCATTTCATACTAACCACTTAGAATGAACTGGGTTCGAGACGGGTCGCGAGAGGGGATATCTGGTCCGTAACTTGGGGATGAGAACTGAACGTGAGCCATGGCCTCAAGAAGCTTTGCTCGCTTTCACTCACTCTCCAGGGACCCCTGGCACCACCACCATAGAAACGAGCCTGGGCTAGCCTGTTGGAGCATGAGAGACTGCGTGGAGGAGAAATGAGCTGTCCCAGATGAGACATTTAGACCAGCCAGTCTCTGCCAATATCAGCCAGGCCTGACCTAGATCTGCTGAATGTAGCCCAAACTGCCAAACCAGAATCACAGTCTAAATAAGTGCCCATAGCAGCATTGTTTACAAGAGCAAAATGGTGGCAGCAACCCAAGTGTCCATCAAAGGATGAATGTTAAACAGTATGTGGTATCTACATACAGTGGAATATTAGCCAGCCTTAAAAAGGAGGGAAGTCCTGATGCATGCTACCATGTGGGTGAACCTTAAGGAGATTATGCTAGGTGAAATAAAGCCACTCACAGAAGGACAAATATTGCATAATTTCACTTATAAGAGGGTCTAAAATAGTCAAACTCATAGAGACAGGAAGTAGAATGATGGTTGCTGGGGCTGGGTGGAGGGGAGGTGGGGAGTAGTTGTTTAATGGGTGTGGAGTTTCTGTTCGTGAAGATGAAAAGGATTCCAGTGGTTTGCCCAACAGTGTGAATATACTTAACACTACTGAGCTGGACACTTTAAAATGGGTACATTTTACCAAAACTTAAAAAAAAAAAAAAAAGAATTAGCCTCAAACTGTACTAGCAAAGGTGAAACCAACACAGGGAAAGTTCCCTGAGCACTGGAGTCCATCATCTATTCATGCTTTGTGTATCAGTTAGCTCTTGCTGTTTAACGAACAATTCTAAATTGAGTGACTTAAAATTGAGTGTTTCAACAACAGCCACTTATTTAGACTGTGATCCTGGCCTGGCAGTTTGGGATACACTCAGCCGATCTAGGTCAGCCTGGCTGATACTGGCAGAGACTGGCTGGTCTAAATGTCTCATCTGGGACCGCTCGTTTCTGCTCCACGCGGTCTCTCATGCTCCAACAGGTTAGCCCAGGCTCGCTCCTATGGTGGTGGTGCCAGGGGTCCCTGGAGAGTGAGTGAAAGTGAGCAAAGCTTCTTGAGGCCATGGCTCACATTTACACAGGGTCAACTTCCACCACTTTCTGTGGTCCAAAGCAAATCACAAAGCCAGCCAAGATTCAAAGGGTGGGGAAATCATCTCCACCTCTTGACGGGGGAAGCTACAAAGAATTTTTGCTATCCATTACACCAGCTATATATATGCCAGGCCCTGTGCTGAGTGTTGAAGATAAAAATATAAATAAAACACAGTCTAGTGCAGGAGTCAGACATGTAAATAAATAATTACAACTCCTAGTATCTATAAAGAAGTGAGCACAGGTTGCTCTGCCAGCCTGCGAAAGGGGGTGGAGGGCAGGGGTATGGGAGGAAGAGGGGAAGGAGGCAAAAAGGCCCAGGACAAAATAACACTTTCCCTGGTGGTGAAGGATAAATACTGTTTGGCCAGATGGAGGAAGGGGATGGAAGATCCAGGCAGAGAGGACGGAGACTTGGAGTGGGGACATGTGTGGGGTGCATGGAAGCTTCGCTGGGGAGCAAAGGGCCCCCTGGGAGTGGAGGAGGAGCTGAGGGAATGGGGAGACCCCCAGAGGGCCGTGCTGCCCCTGCTCAGCCCCGAAGGATTTGTGCGGCCAGAGGCTGTGAGGAGCTGCAGTGTGGAGGTGGCCTGGAGGGGGACAGGCTGGAAACAGGGAGACGTCCTCAGAGGCTCTTGCAGTGACTCAGGTGAAAGATGAGGGCAGCTCACTCAGGGTGCTGAAGGGCCTGGGGCAGGAGCGGCTGGATCCTGAGAATTCTAGGAGGTGAAAAGATGGGACTTGGTGTGATGAGGGGTGGGAGGAGTCCGGGGAAGTCCTGCAGAATGCGGGCGGTGGACCGTCTTCCGCGGGAAGAGAAGCTCCATGCTGAGTCAGGCATCCTGGGCGTGCGGGAGGAAGTGGGAAAAGGGGCAAAGAGGCCTGGGACAAAAATCTGAGCCTGGGGGCAGCCACTTCAGTGAGCAGCGCCAGGGTGTGCAGTCCCACAGGCGCAGGTGGGCATCCCACTCGAAGCCAAGGAGACCCAAAAACAACCCCTGGGGCTGGCCAACAGGGATGGATGCTGAGGCCAAGTCTTCACCCCACCTGGTAGGCTCAGCTGCCAGCACTCCGCTCGCCAGACCCCAACGAGCCTCCATCCAGGGAAGGCCATAGCGTCTCTGGGCCATCTTCTCCCGCAGAAACCTGGAGCAGCAGAATAGTGCAGGGTGCCAGGTGCTTCTGGAAGTCCGCTCTGAAGGCCCAGCCCTGAGGCCTGCAGACCTCCCCACACCTGGGAACAGGCCTTGTTGCTGGAGACCTCCTCACAGCGCCCCACACACCTCACTGGGAAGCTCCTCAGAGATCAGGGAGTGTCCTTTGCCAAAACATGGGGCAGGGAGGAGGGCAGCCTGTGCCCCGCGGGTCCTGGTGCCCCCTTGTGGATTCTGGGTCTGCCGCCCCCCAACAGGCACAGCCTGAGAGCCTGCTTTGCCAGCTGGGCAGGCAGTGGGCAGCAGCCCGCACACACCAGCCGATCGATACCTGGAATGCACTTGGGGCCTGCTGGGAAAAGGAGTCCCCTGGTGAGCACTTTCATAAATTGACAAATTCTTCTGAAAGTGAATAATCTTCCCCAACTATTAAATCCAGATTTCCACCAAGTGAGATTCAGAGAGAACAGAAAGCACCTACATTAGGAGGGGACACCTGAACCTCCAAGTGCCTTCCAGGTCTGGCTGCAGAATTCCTGGAGCAGCAGGTGTCACGGCCGGGGCTGGGGCTGCTGATAGAATCACTGCCGGGACCTCGATTTGAAGGGAAGGTCTTCAGAAACCCTCGGGATGCCTCGGGCCCAGAAGGAGTAGGCATGTGTGTGCTGCTGTGTTCTCCAGGCCCCTAAGCACTGATTAACTCAGCAGGCATGTGGGGCCACATCTGTCACTCTCTGCAGTGTGACACCCAGGGGGCTACCGAGCAGATATCTCTGCCCTCCTGTGCTAGAGGAAATGGAGGTCCAGAAAGCTGGGGTGGCTGGCCCAGGGTCACACACCAATTAGTGGCAATGCTGGAACAAGAACCGGGATCCAGGTCTTCAGAATCCCAGCCCAGAATTCTCTCCCCTCCCCTACCACTTCACTCAAAAAGGTGACGTCATCTACCTCGCTTCACTCAAAAAGGTGACGTCATCTACCTCGCTTCACTCAAAAAGGTGATGTCATCTACCTGGCTTGTGGTTTGGGCATTAATTCAGCTGGTGACTTTCTGGAGACGCGTGTGAGTGCGGCAGCTGAGCCTTATCCAGCCTGGCCCTACAACTGGCCCTGTGCTGTCTCCCCTGCGCCCCGGCTGTCTGTAGGCACCGCCAGGCTTTCTCCAGCCCAGGCCTCTATCCACTGCCTCCTACCCCAAACCCTGGGTGTCCCACAGGCCCCACCCCACAACTGATCTTCTAGTTCCCTCCCTTCCTGATGTGCCACCACCATCCCCTCCAAAATCCCGTCAATGGTCTCCACGCCTCCCCCTCCCTGCTTCCTTCCTGCACTGAACCCCACGGGGTCCACACACTCCTGTTTCTCTGTCATGCTGCTGCTGTGTAATTCTGGCCTTCTCACCTCTCCCTTGGAAAGACCGTCACTGTCACCAGCACTGCACTCGCCCCCACGCTGAGCTCCCTGTGTGCCCGCCACATGCTGTCTTACGGAACCTTCAACAAGGGCTGACCCCGAGGCTCTGAGAATGTAGGTCCCCTTTCCCAAGGTCACACAGCTGATAGGAGGCCCAGTGCAGGTTCACCCTCAGGTCTGGCTTCGAGGCTCAGCTCTCCGCACGGCACTTTCTTGCCTCCCATTGGCTTCCTAAGCCACTCCCCATCCTGCCTTTGTGTGGATTTGTCTGAAACCCAAGTCTAACCTCACCACTTCCTATCCAGAATCCCCTGTGGCTCCCTGGTGCCCTGGATGAAGCTGGAGCTCCCAGGCAAGACTGCTGCAATCTGGCCCCGCCCACCGCCTCGTGTTCCCTGTTGCCTGTGGCCCTTTTGTCCACCTGCACCTGCCCCCTCGTGCTTCTGCGCCCTCCCGCTGGTGATCTGAGCCTGTTGGTCTCTGTCTTAGCTCCCACCCTCCTTGCTCCAGGTCTGAGCTCACCCCATGTAGATCCTTCCTGAAGTCCCAGCCAGAGCCTCCTTCCGCACCCCTGGAGATGCTCTGCTACGACTCCAGACTCAGCGTGACTTGGGGTTGGCAGGGTCAGTGATTCGGCCTTGCCCATGGCTCCCAGAAGGCAGGGCCCCAGACCCCACTCCCTGAACATGCATGTGGCATGTTCTCCAGGAGCCCCTCCCACTGTCTTCCTTGGTCTTCAGCAGAGCCCAGTGTGTCCTCACCAAAAGGGCCTGCCTGGCAGTCAGGGAGCAGAAGCAGGATCCTCAATCCCCATTTTACAGATACAGAAGTAGAGGCTGAGAGAGGCAAAGGGGCTTGGCCAAGTGTCAGAAGCAGGGCTGGGGCCAGGAAGAAGTCCTGGCGGGCAGCCAGCCCTGGCCCATGTGGACAGCAATAACCAATGAGGCTGGAGCATGGGCAATGGCAAAGGGGTGCTGAAGAGCAGGGCTCAGCTCTGCAGGCCACCCTCTCCCATACATCTGCTAAGGGAAATCGCCTGGCCTGAAGACAGGTCTTTCTGGCCCAAGGATCAGGGGCCTGACGCACAGCTACCAGCAACATTAAGGGCAGTCCTGGGGGCAGGCAGATGAGGCAAGGCTGTGGGAAGCAGTGGTCACATGAAGGCCCTAACTTTGGCCAGTGAAAGAGAGTGTGCAACCCCAACAGGGTGGCTGGCAGGCTCTTCCCTCCTTCTCCTTTCTAAGCCTTGGGGTGGGTCTGGGAGAAGCTTCTGACATCCCCAGGTCTGGAGCCCATGGGCCCGGGCACTGTGTGTGCCAGCCCCAGGTCCGAGACACCGGGCACAGGTAGGTGCGCAGCAGAGTGGGAGCCTCCGAGGCCACTTCCTGGGACCTGCTGGGCTGTAAAGCAGGCTCTGCCCAATGTCAAAGCCCCAGGAGAGGGTGGGCGTCCTGAGAGACTCGCCTGGGACATGGGAGGAGGCACAGAGGGCCCCTGTCCCTTGCTTGCTTGCTTTCCCGAAAAGTCCCCACAAATGTGAAACAGAAGGAGGTGTTTGCCAGTTCTCCCATGGCCCCCTCCTTTCTCGGGGTCCGCTGCCATGCCATGGCTGTGAGTGTCTAACATAAGGGACGCTGTTTTTGCAGGTTTTGTGGTTGTGATTCCTTTGAACCATATCCAGCCCATCTTACATCACAATGCCATGCTTGACTTGGTCTCCAATACATCGGCACCCATTGGCATTTGGAGAACTTGCTCCGTGGTTATTTAACAGTTTTTAGTTGTCTGTGATAATGTATTCTCTATGTTTCCAATCGTCAGTATGGGAATCTCTCCCCCAACCTTTCAATTTCTGGGTTTGATTTTTTGTATCATATTTGGTTTTTTTGCTTTTTGAAGTTGTGATGCCTTTGGTTATTAGCCCCTCCCAGTGGCTGCTTGTTTATGCATTATGTTTGTGACTTCTTTTGACTGTCAGTGTTGAGCCAGTCTTGCCAAGAAACAATATCAAGTATTTCCTATTTCTCTACTTCTTGAAAGAAAAAAAAAATACTTTTTTTAATTTAAAAAAAAAAAAAAAACTCTTAATGGGAACCTGGCCCTGTCTGTCTTCTCTGTTCTGCAGAAATGTTGAAGGAATTGAACCAGCAACGCAGAGCGAAAGCGTTTACAGACCTGAAAATTGTTGTTGAAGGCAGAGAGTTTGAAGTCCACCAAAATGTTCTAGCTTCCTGCAGCTTGTATTTCAAGGACCTGATTCAAAGGTTTGCCTTCCTTCCAGCTGTGGTCGGGTCTGTTCCTTTGTAGGACGCTTTTGTGTCGCTTTTCTCTTCCCCTCTCTTGCAGGTTCCTGAAGCGTGACTCCCTGTCACAGAGCCAGTAGCCATCTCTCCTCCTCCTCCTCCCCAGTACCCTCTCACACACAGCCTCAGAGCAGCCACTGCCCCCAGCATCTGCCCCCAGCCACAGCTTTGCTGGTCACCAGGGGCCTCTGCCAGCAGTAGACAACACCCCGCCCCACCCCTGAGATCCCAGGTTCTCAGTGGCTCACAAGCCCTCCCTGAGATTAGGGGGACTGTAGGCTCCATTTTAAGGGATCACTGCACACTGCCCCCACTGGACCAGAGCAGGATCCCCAGTGCCATCGTCCCTGCTGTCAGTGATGACTAATGCCAGGAAAGCACATCGATCAGGCCATCCCTGCTGAGGAGCACAGGGTGCCCCCGGGGCCGCTTTTCCCCAGCCCAAGTCGGGGAGAAGAGACTTGTAGCAAAGCCTGGGCCACACTGCATGTCTGATCCTTGTGCACTGAGCCTAAACCGGCGCTGTGGAGCATAGACCAGGTGTGTCCTAAACACGGTCTCTCTCAACCCTTGCTCCCTCCCTCCTGCCCTCTGCCCTGGCTATTTCTACCTGAATGAGTCTTATTGGTGCATGAGCATCTTTTTTTTTTTTTCTCCATTATGTTGATTTTTTAAATTTGTCTGCTTCATACCTTTGCAAAGAAGTCAGGGGCCACCTTCCAGCTCCGTAGTAAGGGAGAGCAGCCAAGGGGCCAGCCCAGGGTAACGCTCACATTTCTCTCAGCCCTCAGCAGATTAACGCCGCTGCTCCTCTTGCCTTGCAGCCTCTCCGGGGCAGACGCTGAGCCAGGACTGTGCTCAGAGGGAGGACAGGACCTCTGCTTCCCAATGCCGTGTTTGGACTTGCCAACTAACCCCGGAGTGACTGTGTTTTGTTTCAGGATGGATCCGTGGCTGGCATCTCCTCTCCGATCCGTCCTTTCACATAGAGCCCAGCTGCCCTGTGGGCGGGCTCCGCCTGGCCCCATGCCGGCCCTCAGCCTCGCAGGAAGGGGCAGGCTCTTTGGGACTTCCCATCTCATGGACACCTCGGGTCTCCTGCCCCCGGTGCTTGGGCTCTCTCTGTCCAAGCACAGGGGTTAGGGGCATGTGGTCTGGGGTGAAGGGATATGTCTAGTGCCCTCACCAGGCCGGGGAGGACTTTGTGCTTCCACTCTTGACAAATCCTGGAAGCAGGGGCCCGCATCTGGCTGCTGGATCACGGATGAGCGTCCTAGGGTCTTGGGCCTGGCTCCAAACCAGCTGGAGAGGACAGAAAGGGGGCAGGTCAGTGCTGAGCGGCAGCCTCCTCCCCAGCTAGAACGTGGTGGGCGAGAGGAGCACGGGGCCCTCCGATGGCTTTCAGAGACCACACATGGAAAGCCAGACTTGCACGCAACAGAGAAGAACACGTGCTAGGTGGGAACCCAAAGTAGTGAAGGCTTCTTGGGCTGATAAGAGGGAGGAAGAGCATTCCAGGCTGGGGGTGGGGCATGAGTGGGGAAGGGCAGGGTGGAGCAGATGGCCCTCCCAGAGGGGGCTGCGCTGGGGCAGGCAAGCCCTGACCCCATGCTAGGACCTGGGCATGGTCTGAGGTGGGTAATGTCAAGAGCAGTGAGGAAGGGACACCCACCTGAAGGCGGGAGAACAGTAGGATGTGTCTCGGTGGCCCTGATCAGAAAGGATGGGGCTGGAGGAGAGAGGACATCCCCGCCTTGGCAGGTAGGAGACCTGGGTCCTCCACCGGACTCTGCCACTTGTCCTGTGACCTCAGACTGGTCACCTCCTCTCCTGCACCCTGGGCTTTCTCATCTATAAATCAGAATTGGTTCACATGATGCCCAGGTCTCCTTGCAGCTCTGACACCTCAGAGTGATGGGCAGAGGATGGGCAGGACCAGGACGGAGAGGCTTCCCACGTGCAAGCACCAGGACCCAAGAAGCTGAGGTGTCATGGGCATCAGAGGTCACAGGGAGGAGAGCAGGTCCACAGGCCAGCGTTGGGAAAGCTGGGGAGATGAGCAGTTGAGCATCTGGCGTGTCAAGCTGAGCAGCCTGATGGATGCCCAGGTCCCCAGGTTGGGCCGCCTGTAGGCAGCCAGGTGCATGGATCTGAACCCAGAGAGGTCTGAGGTTTGTAGAGTCGGGGCTGGGGGGCCTTCAGCATACAGGAGGGTCACACGGGAAAAAGGAGGGAAGCCAAAGCCAAGCCCCAGGGTGCCCTGTGACTGAAGGTCGCCGTGTGAGTTTGCAGCCACAGAGCACACGTGACCATTGGTGCTGATGAGTGCAAACAAGTGCCTTCTCAGGAGGAAAGCCAGGTCTTTACAGGAAGATGGTTTCCTTTCCCGCCGTGTAAAATCATAGAGAATTTCACATTCTTGGTGGTCAAGAGAGAAGCTGATGTCACCATGTCTTTTCAGTCCCTTCACATCCGTGACCCTGGAGACTTACTGTGCAGTGGCCGGACTGGCCCAGTGCAGAGCTGTGGCCCTGCCCTTTGACCCCAAGCAGTGGCTCCCCGCTCAGGCAGCTGCACTCTTGTAAGGGGAGGGAGTAGGGACCATTTCTGGGACCTCTGTCCTGGTGCAGACCTCTGTGGGGATCAACATTGGCCCTCCCTGGGTGAGCCCTGCCAAGGGCAGGTGACCCCTCCCTGCTGTCCCAGCATCCCTGAGCCTCCTGTCTGGAGGCTCAGGCTAGACTCCCACCCCCAGCCTGGGACAGGTGATGTGTCTACCACTCCAGCCCCAGGGAGGACAATGACCCAGCACCCGAGCCTGGCTAGGACAGTGCCTGCCAGACCCAACCCCAGTGCAGACACCCTGCCCTGGAGCCACAGGACAGAATGTGGGAATCCAAGTCATTCACTCGCTGGTCACTCAGCAAACACACAGGAGCCCCTCCTGGGGCCGGGACTCACACCAAACACCAGCCAAGCCCACAGTCTGGTGGGGACACACTGCAGACAGGCAAGGAGACGAGCGGAGATGATGCTTCAGAGACTCGTGGGCCAAGGGCCTGGCTGTGGGGGAGGGGCATTCAGGGAGGCACCTTGGAGAGGTGGCATCTGATGTGGGTTATGAAGAACAGGCATCGGCCCGGCAGACACGTGGGGGAGAGCAAGGTCGAAAGGCGGGAGGGGGTCTCAGGTCCCACAGGTGACTCCACGTTGCTGCAGGGCCAGGCATGACAGTGGCTTGCAGGGGACGCGGCTGGAGGGAGGCTGGACCTGGGTCACAGGAGCCTGGGGGTGTTGCGACCAGATGTGTGTTTTGTAAAGATGACGGTCAGACCGTGAGTGGGAGCGCTGGATCTCAGTGTCCTCTCCCAGGGTGCGGCCAAGTCCCTTTGGGCTTGGCTGCACCCCGTGGCCATGCAGAAGGGCCCCAGCAAAGTCCTGCCCAGAGCCCCACACCCTTCACCCTCTTCCCTGAGCACGTGTGGGTGGCAGTGCCTGCCACCTTGCTTGGTAGACAGGTGTGGCTTGGAAGCCAGATAACGAGACTCCCATGTCTCACTTTGGATGCTGGCACAATGGCATGACCCACACCTGTCGCCAAGTTACCAAGGGTGGGCCTGAGCCACACAAATCCCCAAGACCCAGGGAAACTCGTGCATGCCCATGCGTGTGTCCTGCAGCTGAGGACATGCCCAGGTGTTCATTCACGGGCAGAGTCCTCTCTTCTGAGCAGAGCTGGGTACCAGCCACCTGCCCCATGCCTGTGCCTCACCCGCCGCTGCCCACGGATTCTGCCCATCGCTCCAGACGGTGCCCAGTTCCACCTTGCAAAATGAAACATCTGACCTCCGAGGTGCGTGAGGGTGGATGAGGGCCTCCAACCTGATGTCTGAAAGGAAGGGCATTTCTAATCCTGGATGAGTCCATGGCTAATGGTGGGATTGCAAACATCCCGGTAGTTGGACCTAGCCATTCCTCTGCTGAGCAGAGGCTACGTCCCGAACTCTGGCCTCTCCTGGGCACCCCCAGCCCGAGAAGGAAGTGACTCTAGGAAGCTCTGGTCTTCTGACAGACCCCATGGGGCCCGTGTGGCTGGGCAGCACCAGCCTGCCCCTCACTCTGCACCCAACCCCCCTTTGTCAGCTTCATAGAGAAGGTTAGTGCTCCCCGTCTGCCCTGCTGCAGTCCCTCTAAAGCCACGTCGTGACCTGGCGGCCCAGCAGCACCCCACGCCATTCACTCCATGGAGCCCAGTAGGACAAGAAATGGCTCAGGGCAGGGACGGAACAGCCACCTGTACCCCCTCCTCAGGGACCAGGGTCACCCATCACGGGGGTGTCCCTCTGGGGTCCCTGCTCAGAGGGAAGAGGCCTAAGGAGCCCCGGGGTCCAGTCCCAAGACAGTCTGGTGTTCAGGGATAGAGAGGCGCCCCCACCCCCTCACAGCTCTCCAGGCCACGCACAAAGGCCTGTGTGGATGAGAACCATGTGTGTTGGTAAGAGGCACAGGCCTCGCCCTTTGAGGCCTCGTCTCCTCCTTGAACTCAGATTCTGACAGAGCCCCCATCACATTCCCCTGTGCCTCTCTGGCCATTCCCTGCAGATCATCTGCCCAGCGCCCCCTCCACCCCATAGGTGGCCCTCACAAGGGGCCAGGAGGAACAGAGCCACAGCCATGCCTCCTGTGGCCAAGGGTCCTCCTCAGTCTAGACAGCACCTGCGATGCTCTACCGCACCTGGTGCCCCTCCTCCTGCGCCTGGCGGCCAGGACCCACTCCCTAGCTCAGACTGTGGGCAAGACAGGCAGCACCCCTCAGCAGCCATGTGGGTCCCATCGCACCTGTCACTCAGCCATGGACTGTCCATCTGCCCAGCACCCCTCCCCACAGTGCATCTGTGTGCGTGTGTGCTCACACATCCTGAAGTCCCCTGGGCTCAGCCCTTCACTGGCTTTGAGCTCCTCCACCTGAGGACTCCTGGGTAGACAAGTGAGCTGGCCAGAGGTGAAGGCAGCAGTGACTGGGGGCCTCGGGAGCAGGCTGTGGCCCCGTGTGACCTCCACAGGGCAGAGGAGAGGCCAGGCAGTGGCTTGCAGGAATGAAGGCCCGGGCAGCAAAGACAGGAGTACGAGGTTGACCAGATGGCTCTGGGGCTGGGGGTGTTAAGGATTTCTGTGGTTTCAAGTGATCACCTAGTGGATTACTTCTACACTTAACAAAGCCACTGAGGTATGGAAATCCATGCCAACAGCAGAAGACTAGGTGTGTGAAGTCACTTTAGGAGTCACTCTGTGTTGCAGGGGTTTGGAGGGGCCTCTGTGGAGCCCACACCTTGCCCCCTCTGCCTTCTGGGCTGGCCCAGGGCTTGGAGGCAGAGGCCCCTTGGGGTCCTGGTGGGATGAGCCGTTGTGTGGGGACGGCCTACCGTGGCCGCCCTGGGAGGGAGCCTGGACGCCAGCTCTGTGGCAGGATTGCATCTCCCCCTCTCCTCCTGGCCATGCCTGCGCTGAGGCCCTGGGAGGGCGGTGCCTGACCTAAGAGAATGTCGCTCTGATGATGGAGTTTCAGGTACTGCCACGTAGAGAAGAGTCTCGTGGGAAGGGCATTTTCCAGCCTCTGCCACAAAATCTCCACGGGAGTTCAGACCTCATCTAGGTCCACCCTCTTGTTTTGCAGAAGAGGAGGCTGAGGGCCTGGGAGGCCAAGGCTGCCCACCTGTCGGTGGCAGAGCCCGGGCACCCAGCGCCCCCAGCTCTCTGCCCTGTGCTCTTTCCGCTCACCCACACACCCAGCAGCTGGTCTGTCTGCAGCCAGCCTGCCCGCTTGCTGGACACCTCGACAGCCCCACCGCCAGCCACAGGTGCGCGCAAGGGACCCATCACAAGCATCTTGCCCTGTGGCCTCCTCGGAAGCGAGTGAGTGGACCACAGAGGTCATTTCCCAGCCATGTGGCCGAGCCCAGCCCCAGGCAGGACCGGGCTCCGGGCAGGAAGCAAGGCTGCTCGGAGGAGCCAGGACAGGGCAGCCAAGCCGACGGCCTACGAGGCCTCCGACTCCCGACGCGCCGGGTGTTTTTACTCCTGCTGTCACTTATGCATCGGTGTCACTCTTGCTTCATCTTATCTGTTTCCTTCCAGGTCCAGCTTTAGGGGCGGCTGCCAGGCCTTAGGAGCCTTTGCAATGGTTTTGTATTCCTGTAGACACCAGATATAAACAGATTGATATATTTGTGTCCCTCCCCTGCTCCCCCCAGTTCCCAAGCCCGATGCACACTCTACACGCAGGCCACTCTGACCTCTGACCCCGTGTTCCATGTGGCAGGAGGGCCCCGCCCCGGGCCAGGCCCCAGGTCATGGCTGCTGGCTGTCTGTGGCGGAAGTCCTTGGTTGTTTCCTCTCCCCTCCTCCCGGCTCTGACCATTCTGTCCGTCTATCTCGTCTTGTCCTCAGTTTCAAAGCAATGTCATGAAGGGCTTCCTTTCCATGCCTAAAAGGAAACAATATGTTTTTGGAAAGAGGTGGGGTTGGAGAAGGTTCTGGGGCAACTTGGGGCCCTCGGTCTTGGGGCGATCAGAGGATATCTCTGGATTGGCTGGGATCACAGCCAGTTGGGAGCCTCCCAAGCCTGGGTCACATTGGAGAATCTGCCACCCAAGGCAGGCAAGGCCGGGCTGGGATGCGTCGGCCTGCTTTGGTGGAGATGCCAGGGCCTGCAGTGGGCTGAACCGTATTGTTTCCCTTTGAGGCCAGTCCTGGTCCTCGTCCCCATCCATAGCTCATGCTTTTTGATTTGCATCTTTTTTTGCATGGACATGCCGAGTAGTGATAAGCAGGGTTTTCTGTTCTTTTGGGCGTCTCTGGTCAGACTCTTCTCTTTCAGATCCCGTGTCAGAGCATTAGGTTCAGGTGTGTCATTGCTGTGTCCTTTGAGTCCTAAAACCAAGGGCGTGACCAAGGTGTGCAGGGAGATCTAGCCCTGTGAGGAAGCGGCACGATGGCCGTGGGGCAGCAGGTAAGGACACCCTGGTCTCTGTGCCTAGGTCCGTGCAAGACAGCGGCCAGGGCGGCCGGGAGAAGTTGGAGCTCGTCCTGTCGAACCTGCAAGCAGACGTCCTGGAGTTGCTGCTGGAGTTTGTCTACACGGGCTCCCTGGTCATCGACTCGGCCAACGCCAAGACACTGCTGGAGGCGGCCAGCAAGTTCCAGTTCCACACCTTCTGCAAAGTCTGTGTGTCCTTTCTCGGTGAGCCCGGAGGCCATGTGTGTCACTTGCGGGGAGGAGTGCAGATGGGCAGACAACTCCATAAACAGGAAGGACTGAGCGGGGAGGACTGAGCAGGGAGGACTGAGCGGGGAGGGCTGAGCGGGGAGGACTGAGCGGGGAGGGCTGAGCGGGGAGGGCTGTGTGTGCACACCTGAAGCTCCCTCACATGTGGCTGGGTTTGGCAGGGCTGTTTTAAGATGGTAATTTGGATACACATGCAAAGACTCTCTTTCCCTGGCATGAAATGAAGGGGATTCCGTGTCATTTCTCTGTAGGTGGGAGAGGCGCACTGTGCCCCGCCAGGCCTTGTGGGAACAAATGGTATCATGAGGGCTGTGCACGTGCTCTGCCCTGTTCTCTAGACCCGGAACAAAGCAGCCCAAACTTGCTTTCCCTTTACCTTATTCATACCTGGGCTGCCCCAGATGTCTGCCCAGGCCTAGACATCTGAACTGTCCCTTGAGTACCCATGTCTGCTGCCCAGGATGGGGACTGAGTGTCAGGAGCTCCCGGGGGGTCCCTGAGCCAAACAACATGCTGCCTTTACACTTGATGCTGCCCCGCATGGGCGACGGCAAGGTGAGGGAGGGACAAAGACGAAAGCCTCCAAAGAACCAGTGGCCTGGGGTATGGAGTGCAGAGAGAAAGCCAGAGCCCAGCCTAGCGATGGGGCAGATCCGTGAGGACAGGGGGGCACCAGGCAGTCTCGAAGTGCCGGGAACCACGGCAGCAATGAGGCTCGCGCACAGATAGGCTTCCAAGAACCCAGACACACCTAGGCTGGAAGAACTACTGTCATGAAGGGGGAAGAGTGTGAGGTCCTGGGAGGGACAGTATTGGGTAAACAGGGTATGGAGATGGCTCCCACCCTGGATCTAGCCACTAAGCCCAGGAGAGCTGGCCAGATGGACCCCAGAGCCTAGCCGGCCAGATTGGGTGGGGCAGAAGCCTGTGCAAGAAGCTGGGAGGTGCACGAGGGGCACTACAGCTGACACAGCTTAACGAAGGAGTCTGGGACCGCAGACATGCCTGGCATGGAAGACATACAACATGGAAGATGCTGTAAGCCTCAGTGCTACCCTCAACCTCAGCGACAGTGTGACTCCTGGCCCCAGCCCAGGCCCAGGCTCTGAGCAGGACTCTCACACTCCATGCCTCCCAGTCTCGGTCCTTCTGCCAGGACCTGTGCACACAGAGGGAGGCCCCTGGGAATCAGCATGAGATGGGATAAGGGAGAACCCAGGAGAAGGATCGAAGGCTCCAGACACCCAGGAAGGGGGCCTGCAGGGACTCTGAATGCTGGAGGCAGGGTCCCCAGGATGTGGGTTCAGAGAAGGATCCAGGGTGACAGCGATGGGAACAGGTGGCAACTGCTTCCAGGGCCCTTGGCTCAGTGGTCCTGTGCTCTTGCCCCCAGAGAAGCAGCTGACGGCCAGCAACTGCCTGGGTGTGCTGGCCATGGCCGAGGCCATGCAGTGCAGCGAGCTCTACCACATGGCCAAGGCCTTCGCACTGCAGATCTTCCCCGAAGTGGCCGCCCAGGAGGAGATCCTCAGCATCTCCAAGGATGACTTCATCGCCTACGTCTCTAACGACAGCCTCAACACCAAGGCCGAGGAGCTGGTGTATGAGACGGTCATCAAGTGGATCAAGAAGGACCCCGCGACACGCACACAGGTGGGGCCTGCCCTGCCCCCGCCCCTTCTCTCTGGGTTTGGGCTCCCCCTGCGGCAATGGGGTCTGCATCAAGGGTGAAGGAAGTGAACTTTCCTTGTCCTGCTCCCCCTGAGTGGCAGAGAGGAGAAGGGAGGGCAGAGAGATGAGAACCCAGTCACCAAAGGATCCTCAAGGGCTAGCATTCCACCCCAAAGGAGACCCAAGTGGGCCAAGAGCCGCAGCACCTGCACTCTGCAGGGAGAAGTGGGTGCCTGAGCCAGGGGGCTCTGGGGCTCCCAGGAACACGGACCCAGCTGGAGGAGCCCACACCTGCTCCAGTTGTTGAGGGGACGGACAGCCCCTGATGGACCAAATGGAAACCCCTGTACTCAGGAAGGGGGAGAATGTGAGGTCCTGGGGAGACTGTGTTGGGTAAACAGAGGATACAGAGAGGGCTCCTGCCTCAGACCTAGCCACTGAGCCCCAGAGAAAGGGGTCCTCAGATCAGGTGGGAAAGCAGGGTTTCTTTTCAGAGGTAGGAAGTTAGATGGGGCAGCTAATAACAGTGACGACCACAATTCCCTATGACTCCCAGATCTGTGTCTCGGGCTCAGAACCCTCTCCTGAGCTCCAGACCCCTCTGCTCAGTGGCCTTCTGGGCCTCTCCAGCAGAATGTCCCGCAGATCCATCTAATTCACCAAGCCCAAAGCCTACACTTCTTCCTGTGCTCCTGATTTCAGCCACGCCTGGTCCCCAAAACTGAAGCCTAGCTTCTTCCCATGTCTCCCACAGCCATTTGGCTACACAGCGCTCGTTCCTGCCTCCTTCCTCCCCTTTAAGTGAATCGACTTCCCTCTCCCCATGGAGACCTTCCTCCTCTCGCCAGGATTACTGCAGCACCCCCTAAGTGGTTTCCCTGCCTCTGTCTTGCTCCCTCCAAATCCATTTTCCACCCTCCAGCCTGAGCAGTCTCTCTAAAAGCACACTGAACATCTCATCCGTCTGCTCAAACCCCTCGTCAGTTGCCTGATCGACTCCGCAGGGGAAACTGTGCCGTCCTTGTTGAGCATGAGCCGGCCTCCCCAGCCTCTCTCCTCTCACTTCTCCCTGTCTCCCTAAACGCCTCCTCAACAAAATCCTATTGCATCTCGTAAGAATAAACCCCATACAATTCTCCAGACACACCATTCTCTTTCACTCTCTGACACCTCTACACAGGCTTCGAATGTCCGCCCTCCCCTCCACCTTGTGCCTGAGAAGTCTGCCCATTTTGCATACTCCATCCAGACGCCACTCCCTCTGCAAAACTTCTTACTCCTGCATCCACTACAAACCCTCGCTACACCCTCCTCTTGCCCCCCGTGAATTTTTTGTAGCAGATCCCCTCCCTTTAAACTGTCTACCCCTTGAGGTCAGAGACTGGGTCGCATTGGTCCTTGTACCCCCAGTGATGAGCCTCATGCCTGGCCTGTGGTGGTCGCCAATTACTCATGGGATGAAACGAAAGTGGAGTGATGAGCAGAGTTTGTTAGGAGGGGAGATTCAAGTGAGCCTCCGAAACCTCCTCGGTGCAGGGCGACAGTTTGAGGCCGTGGGACGTGGGACACCACTGAAACAGTTTTTGGTGCTGGGGAGACACAGGCTTCCACGGCTGGAACTTGGCAAGCTCAACAGTCGCCATCTTCTTGAAGCTTTCGTGGGTCCTCCCACCTGTTCCTGAGTCCTTGCCATACTCACGGCTCTTTAATAATCGTGTCTTCCTCATTTTAACCACCCCGCCCCTACCCCTAGTGGCCTGATCTGCAGCGGGGGTCCACGGCCCAGGGTGGAGTGCGAGAATGGGGTGCTGGGGGGATGAACAGGTGCTCCCACTCCTGCAGGGCTGGCTGCTGCCTGCCAGCCTCCCCTCCCCATCCCTGTGCTCCCTGCCCTCCCCTCCACACCTCCAGCTGATTTTACCTCCCTTTACCTCTGTCTAGGCTAGCAGAACATCTACACTCCCAAGCCCGACACAGCCTGGAATTACGCGTTCTTGTGCAGCCACACACCGTTTCTTTCCTTCCAGGAGGTGGCTCTCTCTTGCTAGTCTAAGAAGATTCCATGTCTCCTTTACCCTGCAGTATGCAGCCGAGCTTCTGGCCGTGGTCCGCCTCCCCTTCATCCACCCCAGCTATCTGCTCAATGTGGTTGACAATGAAGAGCTGATCAAGTCATCAGAAGCCTGCCGGGACCTGGTGAACGAGGCCAAACGCTACCATATGCTGCCCCACGCCCGCCAGGAGATGCAGACGCCCAGAACCCGGCCACGCCTCTCCGCAGGTTTGAAGGGGCACGCCCCAAACCTCCCCATAAGCAGTGTCTTAGGCTCAGTGGTCCCAGTGAGGTGCCAGGCACAGATGCCGACAGTCTTCGGGTGTGTCCCAAGGGCGCCCATCCATGTCCCTGCAGGTGTGGCTGAGGTCATCGTCCTGGTTGGGGGCCGTCAGATGGTGGGGATGACCCAGCGCTCGCTGGTGGCTGTCACCTGCTGGAACCCGCAGAACAACAAGTGGTACCCCTTAGCCTCGCTGCCCTTCTACGACCGCGAGTTCTTCAGTGTAGTGAGTGCCGGGGACAACATCTACCTCTCAGGTGAGGCCCCCCGGGGCTGGGGCAGGACCAGGCATGGGGATCCCAAGGAGACTGCTCCCCATGTCAGGGCCGAGGAAAGCTGCAGCCCAGAAGTGTCTACTTTGCAGATGAAGGCTTCCTCTGCCCCTGGGGCTGGGCTTGCTGACCCCAGGCCCCTCCTCACCCCGCCTGCTCTCTCTGCCTCCCACACTGCCTCCAGGTGGGATGGAATCAGGGGTGACGCTGGCTGATGTCTGGTGCTACATGTCCCTGCTTGATAACTGGAACCTCGTCTCCAGAATGACAGTCCCCCGCTGTCGGCACAATAGCCTCGTCTACGATGGGAAGATTTACACCCTCGGGGGACTTGGCGTGGCGGGCAACGTGGACCACGTGGAGAGGTAATGAGGCCATGGTCAGGACAGGGGCATGCTCTATGCTCACCAAGAACTGAAATCACATCACTGTACCTCCTGACACCCACTCAGTGGCGATGGAGCAGAGCCTGGACCATTCATAAGGGCAGTCATCCCAGGCTCTTCAGTCATAGCACCGGGGGGCACCAGGGTGTGGGGTACAAGCAGGCGGGAGGACATCTGTGTCACCTTTGCAGTCGCTGAGATGGGAGATGGGGTGCTTCTGTCCCGACAGCCCATTTAGGTGTCAGACAAGCTGGAGGCCCAAGATCCAGTGACAGAAGGCCTGGGATGAGCCAGACCCTCCCGGCCAGGCAGTCAGGGAACACCCTGCACATGAGCACCAGGCCAGAGACCACTGGGGTTTCGGGCAAAGCTGGAAGCAATGTTTAAAATGCGGGTCATGCCGGTGGCAGTGCCTCCTTGTCCTGCCAAGCGGGCGTCCTACACCAGGGAGCTCCCTTCCTCCCTCCAGCCACACACACCAGGACATCTGTTCATAATACAGGGAAAGGCCACTGCACACAAACTAAGCAATTTAGGGAGCACATTCTTGCCAACCCTCTAGAACTTTCCAGAAGAAAAAAGCCAAAGGACCACGTGTGTGAACCTGCCCTCTGCTGGGAGTCCCCGGCTGGCTTCCTCCCGAGGCCATTGTGGAGGGTTAGATACAGGCATGAGGGGTGTGGGCTGAAGCGCGTGCTTCCAGGTGAGAATACAAAATCCTTTTCCCTTGAGCCAGGGAGACTGTTCTTACACAGAACGGACGCCTGGGGGAAGAGCTCAGGAAGCTTCGTCAGGCAGCAGAATGGAAGCTTAGTCCTGCTTTTGGAGAAACTAGTGCCTGGAGGGTAACCCATCAGGCTGACCTGGCCCAAAGCACAACCCAGGGGAGACAGCTAAGATCGCCAGAGCCCTTCCTGCACCTGAGCCCACCACCCCCACCGCCACGTGCCACCAGAAAGCACATCTTCCCGTGGGACATCATGTTGCCTATGAAGCCACACATACCCCTCAATTTGTATTTTTCCCCCTTGGTGGCTAATTGGACGCTTGACAAATGTTACAGCAAAGATGGCTTACAGAGTGAGACAGGCTCTGAATGCTCATTGTGGGCTTTTAACTCCCCCAAGTGGAGCCCAGAGACAGCTCAGTAACAACATTTAATTGTCATATTGATCTGGCAATCGTGGGCATTCCTGGGTGATGATGAGGATATTAGCGCTGTTGCTGGACCTGGGTTGGCCCCGGTGCTGGCGGCCTTCAGTGTGACCCACTGCCCAGCTATGCATACCCCAAGCATTCTGGAAGCATCCGCTTCCGATCATTTGTCATCCAATAATAAATACATGAAAAAGGAGACATTTTCTCTGTAGGAGTAAACTGAGCTGGATCCGTCATTCTGTCTTGCTTTTGTCAGCTATTTTTAATCTCCTAAGACACTGATTACTCATTTTGCAAACTTATACTTATACTTGTTGATAAATATAGAGATTTGTTCAAGGATCAAATGTACCAACTAAGCAGTGAGACAAGCTCAGCTTTTCTGGGGTCCTGGAGCCCCAGTAAGGGGCGAGGCCTTACTTCTGGCCGTGAAAGGTCAGCATGGGCACAGTGTGAGCAAGACCACCCCGGGAGCCCCAAGAGATGATGGAGCCATCCAGGACGAAAGGGTGCCCTGAAGGGCCCTGAGCCCTTCCTCAGCCCACAGGACTCTGCCAGCTATCCTTGCAGGGGTAGTGCAGGCTTGAAGACCCCTGGGCAGTGTGCATGCAAGTTGGTTGGAGGGTGCAGGCAAAGGAGCACTCACTGCTTTCCAAGAAGTGTAGCTAGACCCCCTTCGGGTGAGTTGCTTTCTGTGGCACACAGTGGCAATGATGAGAATTCAGGGTGACAGGAAGGTCAGGGTAATGGGGATAGACACGAGGGTGCTTTGTTCCCCAGGAAGCACTAATGGTACAAATGGCTATTATATTGATAATGAATGAGATATATGGTGCATTATAATTATATTACATTACGGTATTACAGAAATAGAGCAAGATTATATAATTATAGATTAAGACAACAGCGCAATAGACAAACCTGTATTATATCATTATATAAATAACTGGGTCTAATATTTCATAGCAATATATTGCAGTCGCTGTGGTTACTGGATAAATGATAGCAGAGCGCCTCACTCGGCGGGGTCATTTGCATGTCATTAGCATATCCTTCTCAAGCAGGAAGCTGACAGATTGAGCTGACGGGAGGGCTCATGGCTTGGCAATCAGCCACCTGGAATAACAAGCTCTCAGGAAATTCACATTTGGTGCAATGTGCCATCATACTGAAAGACTGAGGACTAACAGCCACATAATCTTCCACTGTCTCCCAGCTCCTTCTGCAGGAGCTCTTTGGAGCCCTGCCATATTGGCTTAAAAAGCAGATATCTGAACTTCTGACACTGTCCAAAAAGACACTTACTCCATTGCATATAAGCCACATATCATTCGTCTGGGGCTTAATTGAATCTGCCCCACTGCTGCCCTTTGAGACATTCCAGCCTCTTCTCAAATCCAAGTACAGAACTGGACGTCATATCACCCTCGCTCGGAGGCAGACGCACGGGCTCTGGGAGGCCAGCTTCCTGGGGCTCTGGGCTGTGACCGAGGCTCACAGAAAGAAAGCAGGCCCCGTGTGCCTCCCAGGAAAGATGTGCTGGGGACAGACCCAACCCTGGTGGCACAGCACGCCATGCCCAGGCCTCGAGTTGCATCCAGGCACTCACCGAACAGTGAGCAGCGTGGTGGGTGGTAGATGTGTCCCCCACTGGGAGGGCCTAAGTATGGAGGCAACTGGAGTTGGGAGAGCAGCCCCCAAGGAACCCAACAGAAACACTGAGGACCAATATTCCAGCTTCCCCGTGAAGTAAGACCTCAAACCTCCCAGTCACCTGGCCAGGCTGCTGAACCCCAAGTCTGCTTTTCCCAGCAGCTGCCTCCTGTTGTCCTTTCTCCCATCTTGTCTGGAACTCATGTTGTCATTTCATCCTCTTCCTCTGCTGCTTTGTCCTGCACCCCACATCAGCAGATCTGTTCAATCCAACCATTTGCATTCTCGGCGCCCAGCCTTGGAGGCTGAATGGTGATGGAGGAAATCCCACTCCACAACACACTGGCCCCACCACGCGGGAAGGGAAGGCCCCCATCTGCTACCGGCTCCTTCACGCTACAAGGCAGCCTTTCTGGGTTTCCTTCTTTAGCACTTTCCCCCACTCTCAAGAGCAGTTATTTCTTGTCTTGACCTCTCTCCTCAGAGAGCTGACCCCACAGACTCCCCCACTACTTTGGTCAACCCTGACTCCTGCTTCACAAAGAAAATGGAGCCATCAGTCAAGAACTTGCTCACCTTCCTGTGGTCACTCCTGCAAATACAGCTACACTCGTGCCATCCTTGACTTCCTTTCTCCTGTGCAAATGGACTCCACATTCCCTCCACACTTTGGATTCCATTTGCATCCACCTCCTGAAAGCTTCCATCATCAGCTCTCCCCTCTCTTTCATATACACTTAATCTTTCATTATCCAGTTGGACTCCTTCCTATTTTAGCACATACATACACACAAGTAAACATTCCCCTTAAAAGTTAAAACAAGACCTGTTTTTCACTGGCTCGTGAGATCTGAATGTTAAAATTACAGGAACTCTGAGCCAGTTGTTAACCACAAAAATTTAACAATTTCTAATTATTAAAAATTATGTACACAATATTAAAAACAAAGGTAATTCATACTCACAATTCATCACTTCCTAATTTTTTACTACATTTTACTGCTCTCTTGGGCCTTGAGGTTTATATATGCCCATTGCACCTCTCCAGGGAGGAGATTCCAGAGAATGGTGGCCACAGCACATCTCTTTCCAACTCCATGTTCAGCAACATCCCTATGGTAGCTTGAAATCAACCAAGTGGGAGGAGTGACATCACAGAAACCAGCAAATGCTGCAAACCATGACGTTTTTCCTAGAGAGCTGGCTGTTAAACATTCATCAGCATTCCATTGACCCCTCTCAGCTCCAGATTCTTTTCTAGGTCCTACCTTCTGTGCCTCTTCACAGCTAAGTTTCTTCCAAAAGAAGTCTACACCCACGGTCTCCACTGACACAAATGGCTTCTGCACCTCTTGTTCCAGTTGAAGTGCCCTTGACTACAGAGCAGTGGCCTGCTGGAGATTCCATCCTCCATCCTTGAAGCCCTCGCCTTTGGGGGCATAGCCACTCACTCGCTGTTGGGACCTTGGCTGCCCTCCGAGGACACCTCTCAGCTCCCGTCTTAAAGGCTACATTCCCCCAGTTTGTCCTCAGCCCCCACGCACTTCACATCTCCCCAACGCACTCCTGAGCTTCCATTTCCAGCTTTGTGCCAGAGATCCCACAGCTGAATATTTAATCACACCCAAATATCTGACTGTCTGCTGCACATCCCCAGTCTGTTGCCCACAAATACTGTAAATTTCCTGTGAAAAAAACTGAAATCACCCTCCTCCCTCAACCTCCCCATCCCACCAGTAGTGTCACCATCGACCAGTCTCCCAAGACAGACCCTGAACCATTCTTGGCAACTGTCTCCTTTAGCACCAGCATCTCACCAATGAGCAGCCACACCCATTCGCCTCTCCTTCTGTTCCTGTGTCCTCATACTCTTGTCATCCCTTGGTCCCAGCCACTGTTGCATCTCACCAAATTTCTTGTGCAGATTAGTCTAACTAGTCTCCCTGCTTCTGACCTCCTCACTCCAGGACATACTCCACCCTGCAGACACAGTGATCTCTCTAGAGGCCAAATTTGATCACATTATTTCCCTGCTTAAAACCTTCAGGACAGCCAGGCACTGTGGCTCACATCTGTAATCCCAGCACTTTAGGAGGCCAAGGTGGGAGGATTGCTTAAGCTCAAGGGTTCAAGACCAGCCTGGGCAACATAGGGAGACCTCATCTCTATGAAAAATCAAAAAATTAGCCAGGCATGATGCTGCACACCTGTAGTCCCAGCTACTCAGGAGGCTGAGGTGGGAGAATTGCTTAAGACCAGAAGATCAAGGCTGCAGTGAGCTGTGACCATGCTGCTGCATTCTAGCCTAGGCGACAGAGCAAGACCCTGTCTCAAACAAACAAACCTTCACCCACTGCACTCTAGATAAAGCCCAACTCCCTTAGCTTTGCACACATGGCCGTTTTGTTTTTGTTTTTGTTTTTTTGAGACAGAGTTTTGCTCTTGTTGCCCAGGCTGGAGTGTAATGGCGCAACCTTGGTTCGCCGCAGCCTCTGCCTTCCAGGTTTCAGCAGTTCTCCTGCCTCAGCCTCTGGAGTAGCTGGGATTACAGGCATGTGCCACCACGCCCAGCTAATTTTTTTTTTCTTTTTCTTTTTTTTTGGATTTTTAGTAGAGACGGTGTTTCTCCATGTTGGTCAGGCTGGTCTCAAACTCTCGACTCAACTCAGGTGATCAAACTCAGGTGATCCACCCACCTCAGCCTCTCAAAGTGCTGGGATTACAGGCATGAGCCACCGCACCTGGCCCTTTTTAACTTTTTAACTAACCCCCACTTCTAACTTTTAACTTTTTAACTAACCCCTGGCCCTTTTTAACTAACCCCCACTTCCAGCCATTCCATACTATGGAAGTACCTTGACTGACGATGGGGTTATTTCCTGATAAACTCATTAAAAGTTGAAAATATTCTAAATCAAAAATACATCTAATACACCTGCCCTACTGAACATCATAGTTTAGCCAGCTTACCTTAAACATGCTCTGAACACTTACATTAGCCTACAGCTGGGCAAGAGCATCTAACACAAAGCCTATTTTATAATAAGATGTCAAATATCTCATGGATTTTATTGAACACTGCACATTACATCAAAATTGCAATCGTTTTGCACCATCATAAAGTTGAAAAATCGTAAGTCGGGGACTGTCTGTACTCTAAATTCTCCCAAAATGCCACCTTTGCCTACTGCTCTCCCTTCACCTGTAATGCTTTCCCTGTGCCTGCTCAGCCCTGCTTCCCATCCACCTAGCTAGTAGCTTATTCACCCTTCAAGGCCCAGCCTGGTTATCGGCACCTCTAGGAAGCTAATATGACCTATTGGAGCTGCTGGGTGCTCCCTGCCATGTGCACCTTGGGTTTCTCGCCTTCAGACCACTCAGCATCCTGCATGTAATTGTTCTTTGTGTGTTTTATTTGGCTTGCCTTCTTCATGAGGCCATAAGTGCCTTGAGGGCAGGAATGGTACTTCATCCAGCACGTTTCTCCAGTTTCCAGCCCAGGGCCTAGCTATAAAGCACATGCTCAGTGCAGCATTGCCAAATGCAAGGGCAGGATTGAGCTGGATAGAGAGGAGGGGAGCACTGTGTGAGCAAAGGGATGGAGACAGGAATTCTGCAGAGGCTGCCACAGGCAGAAAGAGCCCACTGATGTTCCAGAGGAAGGCTGAGAGGGCTAATTTGGACCAGATCCTACAAGGCCTTGAGTGTCTCATCGCAGTACCTCCCATCGCTGTGTGATCTCAGGCTATGCTGGCCATGCTGAGAGCAAGGAGCAAATGGTAGTCTGCTGCCCTTGCTTGTGACCTCTGTCCCGCGCAAGGCCCATCTTGACCCTGGGCTCTTTTTCTCCTCTCCTGCAGGTATGACACCATCACAAACCAATGGGAGGCCGTGGCCCCTCTGCCCAAGGCAGTGCACTCTGCTGCAGCCACAGTGTGTGGTGGCAAGATCTACGTGTTTGGTGGGGTGAATGAGGCAGGCCGAGCTGCCGGTGTCCTCCAGTCTTATGTTCCTCAGACCAACACGTGGAGCTTCATCGAGTCCCCAATGATTGGTGAGAGCCAGTGGTGTCCTCAGCCCAGGGCCAGGGTCGCACCCCTGCCTCGCTGATTTGTTCAGTATCCATGCCCAGAAGTCAGGCTAAGCCCAACAGCTCTGCAGACCCAGATCTAGAGGGTGGCAGGAGTTGCTGAGCCCCCAGTTCAGGTGTCTGGAGAAGGGCAAGTGAGTCAAGGCTCCAGGTTCCCCTGGGCCCCAGACCTGTCTCCAGGCCAGTCAGTCACTTGTTGGAAGTCTTTCCAGCTTCCTTCCCTGGAGGGTCTGCTGGGAAAGAAAAGGAGAGGGAAGTCCGAGACAAGATGCCGTGACCTGCCTGCTCTGCTCTCCTCACAGACAACAAGTATGCCCCCGCTGTCACACTCAATGGCTTCGTTTTCATCCTGGGCGGGGCTTATGCCAGAGCCACCACCATCTACGACCCTGAGAAAGGAAACATTAAGGCGGGCCCAAACATGAACCACTCTCGCCAGTTCTGCAGGTGAGGGGCTGTGGCACCTTGGTTAGGGCTGGGACGGAGGAGCGGGAGGAGGAGGGTTGTGACCACAATGATTTCCCACCATTCAGTGGCCATGATTCCCAGGCCCAGAGCAGTGGCCCTCCCCATCCAACCACAGGAGTGGGCATTAGCCCAGACCAGTAGGGTGGAGCACCCAGAGCAGCCCACAGCAGCCTCTGGCCCAGGAGCCTATCCCCAGGGCTCCAGCTGACCCCAGCTCCAGCAGAAAGGAACTATTTCCTGAAGGCATCAAGGCTACCCTGTTCTCAGTGAGAGGTGAGGTCTGCTTCCCCCAGGACCACCTGCCCCATCACAGACGGGAGGCAGTGCCAGGCCAGAGCAGTGCCAGGCCAGTGTGATGCCCTACAGGAACAAGTGATTTCTTGGGGGAATGCTCTGACAGCATGAATGACAGCATGAATGATCCTGATGGCCTTGGGAGCTGTGCTTGGGGCTCAGAGTCCCAAAGGCTGACTGGGTAAAAGCACACACAAACCTGCCCCTGCAGGCAGAGAAGGTAGAGGGCCAAGTGTGGCTCGGTCCCCAGGCTTCCTGGCCCTGTGGCAATGAGACACCAGTCCCTGCTCTTCCAACCCCATCCTTTCCTGGACTAAGAGGAACAAGGAATAAGAAGGGGCCCCAAGGCCAGGCACAGTGGCTCACATCTATAATCCCAGCACTTTGGGAGGCCGAGGTGGGTGGATAACTTGAGATCAGGAGTTCGAGACCAGCCTGGCCAACATGGTAAAACCCCGACTCTACTAAAAATACAAAAATTTGCCAAGCGTGGTGGTGTGTGCCTGTAATCCCAGCTACTCAGGAGGCTGAGGCAGGAGAATCGCTTGAACCCGGGAGGCGGAGGTTGCAGTGAGCCGAGATCATGCCACAGCCCTCCAGCCTGGGTGACAGAACGAGACTCCGTCTAAAAAAAGAAAAAGGGGGGCCTCAGAAACCCCATTGTCAGGACTCCCATAGCAGATGCTTCCTGAAGATAATCTTGTGCCTGTGCAGAGGTAACTGCAGAATCTTCAGTGTGGGAATAGCATGAAGTACTTACTGAGTGCCCATTGTCTGTGTAGCATAGCTAGAAAAGATACAACCTACTAGCACGTCAGTGACCTTGGACACATCCCTTCCCTTCTCTGGGGAAGTTCTGTCTGTAAAACAGGCGGTTGGACCAGAAAACTGCTAAGCTCCTGTTGGACTGAGATTTTACAATTCCTGAGCCATACTTCCATGTCACATACCCTAATGGTGGCAGTGTGCAGAGCACAGTCTGACTGCCCTGTCCACTGATGCAGACAACTGGAGCATTACGCTTCACTTGGGAGGATGCCCGCACCTCCTCTGAGACTAGAAATGAATGGGAAACGGCCAGGTATGGTGGCTCATGCCTGTAATCCCAGCACTTTGGGAGGCTGAGGTGGACAATTCACAAGGTCAGGAGTTTGAGACCAGCCTGGCCAACATGGTGAAACCCCATCTCTAATAACAATACAAAAATTAGCTGCGGTGGTGACACATGCCTGTAATCCCAGCTACTTGGGAGGCTAAGGCAGGAGAATCGCTTGAACCCAGGAGGTGGAGGTTGCAGTGAGATTGCACCATTGCACTCCAGCCTGAGCAACAAGAGCGAAACTCCATATTAAAACAAAACAAAACAAAACAAAAAAAAAAACAGAGGCTGGGTGCGGTGGCTCATGCCTGTAATCCCAGCACTTTGGGAGGCCGAGGTGGATGGATCACAAGGTCAGGAGTTCAAGACCAGCCTGACCAACATGGTGAAACCCCGTCTCTACTAAAAATACAAAAATTAGCCAGGTGTGGTGGCAGTCACCTGTAATCCCAGCTACTCAGGAGGCTGAGGCAGGAGAATTGCTTGAACCTGGCAGGCAGAGGTTGTAGTGAGCCAAGATCACACCACTACACTCCAGCCTGAGTGAGAGAGCATGACTCCATGTCAAAAAAAAAAAAAAAGGGAAAGACTTAATGGCAAATGGGAGAGTTAAGCTAGGTCTTGCAAGAGAATCAGGGAATAGGTGCACCACAGAAGGAAAATATGAGGGCCCCAGATGGCATGAAACTAAGGGAGAGAGGACTAGAAGCTCCAGGGTCTGGTAAGAAGTCCCTCTTTAAGACATTTCAGAAACGGGTGGAGCCTTTGAAAAGGTATGTGTCCAATGTCAGGGAATAGCCAAGAAGAAATGGCCATTAGCTAAAAGAGAGTCAGGGCCAGTAACAAGATGTAGATGTCAGTGCAAAGAGGTAGCTGAAATGCATTAAGGAAGTCAGTGCAGAGAGGGGCCAGATGCTGAGCCCTCATGATGAAACTGACTGAGACAATAGGAGCAAGCCAGTGAGTGTCACACAGGGAAGGGGTCCAGGCACAACCATCGGTCACCCTGCAGAGCATGCTCGGCCCTTGCAATCCTGGGTGGGCAGCAGCACCAGGTCACACAGGAGCACCTTGGCAGGTGGAGCTCCCAGTCAAGTGGCTGACGTTCAATTCCAGCTGAGCTCCTTATTATTCTCTCCCGTCATTCTTGTGAGTCATGTTCCCAATTTGATTTGAGCAGTAGGAAGGCTGCGTGTGCCACACAAAAGAGACTCCAGAAAGCCTCAGTGACCTGAGCTGAGTGCCTGCACAGAGATCTTTCCTCTCCCAGCCATGGTTAGTCACTCTGGCAGGGCAGGGAGGGAGCGCCTTCTGCCGCTCGCAGGGTGGCATAGCACAGCTTCCTGACTGGCCCTAGAGGACAGGTGTTTTTCATGTCAGCCCGGGTCAGAGGGCAAAGAAGGGCAGCAAGATCCCAGATGACTTTTGCAAAAGGCACAGGCAACCTACAACAGGACACGATGTTGAGAACCTATCTCCAGGGCCAAGTTGGAAGTGAAATGCCTAACTCTGTCCTTGCTTTCCCCCAACAGTGCCGTGGTGCTTGATGGCAAGATTTATGCAACTGGAGGCATTGTCAGCAGTGAGGGGCCCGCACTGGGCAACATGGAGGCCTATGAGCCCACAACCAACACATGGACCCTCCTCCCCCACATGCCCTGCCCTGTCTTCAGACACGGCTGCGTCGTGATAAAGAAATATATTCAAAGCGGCTGACATCAGCAGAAAGCCCATGATAAGACTGTGGACAAGTCTGGTGAGGCAAGTGCCACGCAATGATAATTTTCCAGCGACACCAACAAGAGGCCAACAAAACACAATCAAGGAACTCACTGCGCTCAACATGTTGAATATTCTCTACATTGAATGTAGAAAATCATCCTCACCTTTGGGTGAAACGGAGGCACCATGCATGGAGCCGCAGGAACCACAATCCCACTGTGGGGCTGGCTGCCTCCTGACCAGGCGCCCGCCCTGAACAGGGGCACCCGCTCTGCCAGGTGCAATAGAGTTTCACATATTTTTCAACTGGGAGAGAGAAGCCGTCTTTTCCTTCCTGCAGAGCAAGCTTGATCCCTAAACAACCATAGATCAGTTATCTTATGACGACATTAGGCATCAGGCTCTCTTGGAATAAGATCAAAGTGTCCTTATCACTTTGATTCCTACTTTTGTTTTTTAACCAATCTACACTTTCAGTGGCCGACAGAAAACAAGGGACAATACTGTGCATCACAAGGCCTAGGAGGCTGCTGGTCCCCACTGGGGCCGAAGAGAAGCCCAGCTGCCCACGCTGAGCCAGGGGTGGCAGCCGTGGGAGAGCCGGGGAGCGAGGACAGCGGTCTGTCCTTCACAGGTTTTTCTACTGTGTTTTTGCTGGAGAAGGACAAAGTGATTGCGCTAGCTTTCTCTTACCCAGTATGAATTATTTAGATTTCTGAGGCATTTTCTTGATAAACAAAAGGCTATTTTTAAGTACTGAGAGGAGAAGCAGGCCACAAGAGGGATAATGTTGTGGGAATTCCCAAAGCTCTTTGTAGGTAGTGCCAGAGGGGGGCTTTTGCTCTCATTTTTCTATGTGCAGAATAGAGGATCTCTCCTGGGGTGGGCAATGCCCCCATTTTATTTTTAGAAAAAGTAACTCCCAGACAGCCCCATAAAAGCTGTGCCCAAGGAAGAAGAGTCTGCTCTAGAAGGAGCCCGGTTCTGGCTCAGGACACCGGCCCAGCTCCCTCCATGAGGTCAAGCTGAGGACCCAGGCCAGTGGGAAGGGAAGGAGGGAGAATAAGCATCTATAAAGCACAGGAGACTATTTTTGATATTCATAGCTATATATTAAGGCACCTGCCGCAAGAGCTCTCAGGATGGGGACAGCCTTCTTAGTAGAGCCATGGCAGCAAGGCCTGAGGGCATGAGCAGAACCACTCTTCTTGTCACATATGAACCTGAGAAAAGGGAAGCCAGGAGGGAGGTCACACCGTGGCTCAAAAGGGAAAGGCCTTCCCGCTAGTCCTTAGCCCCTCAAACCTCACACGGTCAACAGTTTCCATTCCAGGGCAGGAAGAATGCTGCCGCCACCACCGCCACCACTGCGCTGTTGAGTTGAAGTTGGTACCAAATACACATTTACCACTTTTATATCTGGGAAGTCAACTTGCCATCGTTTCATGATAACAACCATTTATAAGAGAAAAAGACAGGACATGCTTTCCATCTTTTAGTATTTGATGACACAAAATTCCAGTTCTAATGCTGGGCATCAACTTCTAGCACTACGAGTGTGGCTCCCACTTGGACAAGATACCGAGCTTCGTTATGCAGTTTTTAATATTATTTATTATTTTAAAAAGTAATAAGCACAAAACTACATACATTGTATGTCATTTAAAGTATTTATGTCAAACAGGGTGCAAGTGTGAACCCAAGGACTGGAGCACAAATTCCTAACTGCCTGGGGCAGGGCTAATGTTAGCATTGGTGTGCGTCTGCCTCCAAAGGAGGTTCTAGTGGTCAGCGAGACTCAACACAGATGACATTGAAATTCCGTTTCTCTCCTCATCTATCACACTGGAGCAAAACTGGCTATTTCTGTGAATGATATAAAACAGGGTTCTCTGTAATGGTATTGTACATAGTATATGTTTATTGTTAAGTTCTTGTTATATTATAATAAATATATTTATAGATCTAGACTTGGAAGCCAGCGTAATCTTTGTGTGCCATCGTCCTGCCACAGGGATGCAAAACCTGTTCTACCCCTCATATATCAGCTGTACGGGTTCTCTTATAGACTTTAGTGCAGATCTTGATGATTAGAAAGGATAGGACTCCATATTGAGGGAAGGTTTAGAGTTGAAAAGCCAAGAAGAAAAGACAATTGAAGGTCAAAGTTGAAAGGGACTTGCAAACACGCTGACACTGACTCTGAGGCTCTTTCTTTCATTGAAGTGCTCTTCTTATTACACCTGTGCAACTGAAAGCTTCAAAACTGTTAGCTTCCCACTAGTATCACTCCTGTGCTGGGGACCGACTTAGAGCCACATGGCAATTCCAGCTCATGAGCCTAAGAAGAGACGCAACACACTTTCTCTAGGAAGAGGAATACAGGGTGATTTCTTTTCTTTTTTTTTTTTTTTTTTGAGATGGAGTTTCACTCTTGTTGCCCAAGCTGGAGTGCAATGGCGCAATCTCAGGCTCACCACAACCTCTGCCTCCCAGGTTCAAGCGATTCTCCTGCCTCAGCTTCCTGAGTAGCTGGGATTACAAGCCTGTGCCACCACACCCGGCTAATTTTGTATTTTTAGTAGAGACGGGTTTCTCCATGTTGGTCAGGGTGGTCTCAAACTCCCAACCTCAGGTGATCCGCCCGCCTCGGCCTCCCAAAGTGCTGGGCTTACAGGCATGAGCCACTGCGCCCAGCCAGGGTGATTTCCATCCTATCCTAAAATCCAGTCAGGGGGCCTCACTGCCTTCTTCAGTCATGGCTGGGGCTGCTCTCTAGGCTGCTGTATAGACCTGTCTTGCTGTGCTAAGGACTCCATGCCAGGCTCCCCAGGAAGAAAAGGTAGAGCACCAGATGGGAGTGCCTATCCTCTGGCAAGGAAAGAAGTTTAGATTTCACAGATTCACAGAAGGCAGATTGGCCAGCTTTGTCATCCCTGTGAAGAGCCTCACACCATTAATCCACAAATCTCACCAAGACTAAGGGTCTCCTTGCCAAAAAAAAAAAAAAAAAAACGGAAGGCAGTGGTCAGGGTAGGTGAGAGAGGGAGATGTTGAGAGAACTTGGCCGAGGCTTTATGATGAGTGGACCATACTCTTGTCAAATAAATATTTGCAGTGATACCTTCAGTCCTAAAGGATGGAGAATGTCTAGAGGATGCCAGTCATGAAGAGCTGAAATTATAACTTGAGACAAAAATCAAGCAATCGTCCTGTTAACTCCTTTCCTGTCTACCTCATTTCCCTAAATCAAGAGAAACATGTTCTCTGAGTCTATGAAGAGTTTGTGTATTTCAGACTTAACTCAGGGACGGGGGGTGGGTGAATAAACTGCATTTTGCCATAAAAGCCATGTATGTCCACTATATCAGCAGTCTGTGAGAAAAGGGGAGGGTCCAGGTGCAACCATCAGAGCTGACATGGATAGTGAAAAAGTTCACTGTGGTGGCTACAAACAGGACATGGTTCACATTATGCATGTGTATGATTTTTTTAAAATCCATAGCCAAAGTAAGAAGAGAACAGTCAAGAAAAATATTTGCAGTCTATATGACAAAGGATTTGTATCTTTATTAAAGAACCCATGTAATTCAATAAGAAAAGGCTAAGTGATTCCAACAGTTGAAGAGAATAGGTCTTAAACAGACCTAACGAAGAAGAAACGTTGCCAGTAAACATACAACAAAAAAGCTCAACAAGGGTAGTTGTTAAATATGAAAATCATAACAATGAGGTAGTAACATCTTTTAGCTACTAGATTAGCTCCCCAAACCTCAGACAAATGAGGGGGAGAGAGACTCCAAGTGCTCATGAGCTGTGAACCCCGTGAGCAGTGAAGGGTTCTGTCAACCAAAACAGCACTTTTAGAGAGCAGTGAGGCAGGGGCCAGGTATCAGGAGCCACAGGAGCATTCACACCTGACCTGGTGAATCCACTCTGAGCATCCATGAGGAAATCATAAAACTATGAGAAAAGTCATACACAGCTGCCCTCCGTATCCACAGGTTTCCCATCCAGATTCAACCAACCATGCATGGAAAAACTTGGGGGGCAAAAAACCAATACAGACTAATACAAATGAAAAAACAGTATAGTGTAACAACCATCTACATTGCCTTTACGTTGTATTAGGTATTATAAGTAATCTAGAGATGATTTAACGTACACTGGAGGATGTGCAGAGGTTATATGCAAATACTACCCCATTTAATATCACGGACTTGAGCATCCAGGGTTTTGGTATCCCTGGGGGTCCAGGAACCAATCCCCTGTGGATGCTGAGGGATAACCATCACAATAACTTGCTCTCATTTACTGACACTAACAACATGCCCGACACTCTGCTAAGCACTGGCAGCATGAAGTGCTGTGTCCGTGAGACAGGTAATACTAAAGACATGCCACCATATGGAAAACACTTAGAAAAGGGAAAACAATGTATATTTTTATATGATTGTGGGTATGTGATATATGTATATAAAGATATATAAGATACACATCTAAAGATAGGTAAGATATGTATATTTTTAATGACCAGATTTGCAGTCAGAAAAAAAAACTATTAGTTGTATTCATGGAATTGTGGGCAATTTTTCTTCTTTCTCGTCCAGAATTTCTATAATGACATTATTTTTATTATAAAGACATATATTTAAAAAAATGGGTAGTGAGGGACAGAGAGTAATCTTTCCCCAGAATTTTTTTTCTTTCTTTTTTTTTTTTTTTTGGAGACAGAGTCTCGCTCTGTCGCCCAAGCTGGAGTGCAAAGGCATGATCTTGGCTCATTGCAACCTCCGCCTCCCGGGTTCAAGCGATTCTCCTGCCTCAGCCTCCCATGTTTACAAGCCCCTGCCACCACGTCCGGCTAATTTTTGTATTTTTAGTAGAGATGGGGGTTTTATTATGTTGGCCAGACTGGTCTTGAACTCCTGACCTCAGGTGATTCACCCACCTCACAATCCCAAAATGCTGGGATTACAGGAGTGAGCCACTGCGTCTGGCCCTTTCCCCAGAATTTCAGTCTGAGATTCTCTTTTGTGAAGATCATCTCCTATTTTGGGTACCACAAGCAATGGAGAAGTTGGAGAGGGTTCACTATCAAGTAGCAAAGAGAATTACAAATAAAAAATATGCTGCCATGTATTCGTGCTAAAACTCTGGAATGGGTTATTAAGATCCCTGTACGTCTCCTCTAATTGAACCTTAATGTATGTATATAACATAATTACACACATTAACTCATTCTATCCTCTCAACTACCCTAAAAGGCATAGGGCCTCTTCACCCTTTAAGAAGAGGAAACAGTCTCAGAAAAGTGGCTTGCCCGGTTATAGTTAGGCCGTGCCCCAAGTGCTCTATGTACACTGTTGAGTTTCATGCTCATTACAGTCTTGCACAGGATGGTCATCCCCACTGCAGGCATGAGGCCGCGGAGCCCTGAGACCTTAAGCAGAGAGCAGGTTTACAGCATCTCAGCCTTCAAACCCAGCTCAGTGAGACTCCAGGAGCTCACACTACACAGCCCCTCCAAATCTGCCTGGAGTTTTTAAGGCACAATCCTCTTCCCCAAGCTACCTCGAAATCCGTAATAAGAAAACAGAGAACTCTGTGAATGGGATAGACATTCAGCTCTGTTAAAAAGTCCTCTTTATAAGTGCTTTTAAAAACACCTGGTAAGAGTCTCAGCAACATAATGAAGGCTTTGGCTTTAAACAGAAAACCTGGGACTGAGGTAAGGAAAGAGTCCACTCACTGAGATGTCAGACCATCCACTGCCGCCTCATTAGAAACTCCTGCTGTGAGCCTGCACTGTGTGATGGACTCTCAAGGAGTTCCTCACATTCTTGTGGAACCACAACCCCGGCCTGGGAGAGCAGAGGAGAGGAGAGAACAGCGTGACCACAGCAGCCGTGGTCCCAAAGGGAATATCATGACTTTGGCATCCAAGGATACAGAAAGTTTTCCCAGCTGGGTCAAGGAGCTGAATAACATAAGGACTCAACTCCAAGAAGCCTGCTGTTTTCATACAATGGTAAAAAGAGTGAGATGTGCTATTGGGAGGAGACACAGAGGAATCCCATGGATCTCTTTACAAAAAAAAATAAGACTCCAAGAATGTGTGTTTACCATCCAAACTTGCCATGCATATGCTCTGCTGCCCACTCTGGAACATATGCAGGTCATTTGGGTGTGTTTCCTCCTAGAAAATGAGCACAGCCTTTGAGTGGCTCATACTAGGTCGAAAAGACTGCCTTTTCCACCTCCCACCGTGGGCCGTCTCACCCTGGTGCGCAGCGCCAGCCAGATTACCCCAACTCCATTGGCGACAGCACATGAAAAAGTATAAGCAAGTGTGCCGCTGTAGCCAGCCCTGCAGTCTACAGATGACTGAAGAAGTATTAGGTTTGTGCACAAGTAGTGGCAGTTTTTGCCATAAGAAGTTTTAGTTAAAGGGTTTTCATTCACTCTGTGTACGGAATTCCTTCATTCTCGGTGAAGCTGGCCACTGCTCAAATGCAAACCTGGGCACCAGAGGACCCATGAGCACTGTCTCCTTAGGGTGTTAGCCCTGGGACTTTACATTCCTGTGAGTATAAATCAGTCACTGATGCTCTTCAAGTCACCCCCTAAATTCTCCAGTCCCTTTCTATCACCACTGCCTTATTTTTAAACCCTTATCACTTCTTGCCCTAATTGTTGCTATAACCCCTTTTTTATGGATTTTTTTTTAAGTAACAGCTTTATTGACATATAATTCACATACCATACACTTCACCCTTTTAAAGTGATTTTTCAGTATATTCACTAATTGAGCAACAATAACCACTAATTGCAGAACACTTTCATTACCCCAAAAAGAAACCTGTACCCATTAGCATACTCCCCATTCTCCCTCACCCCTAACCCTGAACAACCACTAATTTACTTACTGTCTCTGTGGATTGCCCACTGCAAATGTTTCATAAAAATG